TCGTGCGCCAATTAATTGGAAAAGAAAATATTTCAATTCATTAACATTATTATAATAATTAATCAATAGTTATTTTACTCATGAAAGTATATTAACTTATTGGACAAATTAGTTAAAATATATTTTAAATTTTATTTATAATTGACAGAATAGAGTTTATTTTTATATTTGAAGATAGATAAGATCTTTATGATTCATGACCATATTTTCCTTAATATAATAAAATAGGTTGTCTTGTGACTGTATTTTATTAATATTTATAAGTAATATATTATTTATTGAAATGTTAATATATATTTTATTCTATTGAAATTTGATTATGTTAATTTATTAATGTTGCGATCTTATACAAATTTTAATTAACAATATAAATATAAATTTCAGTATTAATAGTTGATACAGTCACTAACAATCTATGATATAAAAAGTTACAGAATAATAATAACATCATTAGTAAGGTAATGGACACAATTATACAATTAATGTTTTTATAAAAAAGTAATTGCTTATGCTTCAAAGAATGTATCAAATATGGAAACCTCTGTTTGCTTAATTTGCTTCTGTATTGTTTTATTATTTGTGCCTGGCATGCTTTTCCACAGCAAACTTCACCCCCTCGCATAACATGAGACAGAATAGTATTTTTAATTTTTTCGTATTATAAACTTATAGTTATTAAAAAATATAGAAGGAATAAACTTCTATTTGTTTATGCATATTAGAAGTGAATAGCGCTTCTTATTATATGATAAATATTTCGAATAAAAATTCACAGTAGTAATGAACAATTTGTAACGAAAAGTATTAAATGAAAAATGATGTACAGAATGTCTTAGATTTTTTAAATTTTGGCCATATTTGTACCATTTAGAATTTTCTCAAAATGGTTACAATGAAAGCAAATCATGTCTGATGTTGTAGCGATGGCGAGTTTTTTCTGCGATTTGGCACCGCAGCTGGGTTGCTGGCTAGCTGCTCGCCAGATGCACATAATGATGCTGCGTGCTGTGATGCGTGCTCCATTGACCTTCTTTGATACGACTCCTACTGGTCGTATTATCTCCAGGTTTGCTAAAGACGTCGATGTACTGGACACATCTCTTCCTCAACAAATTTCCGATAGCATCTATTGTTTGTTTGAGGTAATTTTTGGAAATACCTGAACCAAATTAAGGTGACTGTTATTATTTCCTTTCTATAATTCATTCATAATTCATTGAACGCTCAAATACCTCTATTTCATAAGAGGGTTGGTATTCCCTGTATGAATACATCTTAATCACTTATTCATTCTGTAATTTTATATCAAACGATGTGTTGCAGTTACATTATTTTAATTGTAATTCTTCAATAAATATTAAATAGTTCATAAAGATATGTAGTTCTAAATAATGTGGTGTACAAATATTGTACAATTGTAAAGTATAATTGTGTCCGTTCCAATAAATTTATTGTGTTAAAATTAGTGAATATGGAAAAAGTATGCCTGTAGTAGAAAATGCTGGTGCAAATGTTCATTAATTGAAATGAATATGATTTTATGTTCAATTGTGTATTAATATGGGTGCTTCATCTAAGAATTTGCATGATCATTAATTCATAAATTCTTTGTTTTAAAGTTGAACTATTTTATGGTTGTATACGCGTGTGATTGTTTATATGTATTTGTTATATATATATATATAATATATATTGTTATAAATATATATAATATATATATAATTGTTTGTTTTTGTATTTTCATGCTTTTAATTTTTTGAATGAAAACTGAATTTATACTAAATAGATACTTACACAGAACTGACTGAATCTTTACATTACAGGTCATAGCCACTTTAGTGGTTATAAGTGTTAGTACACCAGAATTTATAGCAATTATAGTACCAATAAGTGTAATTTATTATTTTGTTCAACGTTTCTATGTTGCATCTTCAAGACAATTGAAACGTTTAGAATCTGTTTCAAGATCTCCTATATATTCACATTTCAGTGAAACAGTTTCTGGTATGTAAAATATTAATTTTACTATTGAATTTATATAGTAATTAAATGACAAAAATAGTTAATTGTATATAATAGTTAATACATATTTAATTTATTAGGAGCACAAATGATTAGAGCATTTGGAGTGCAAAATCGATTTATCGAAGAATCTGAAAGTAAAGTAGATTTCAATCAAATGTGCTATTATCCTAGCATAATTGCAAACAGGTATGAATTTTTCCTCAAAATTCTAAAAATTCAAATTAATATTGAAGTTAAGATAATTGTACGAAATGTGATTCATTGTGTTTTATTACAGATGGTTGGCAGTACGTTTAGAAATGGTAGGAAATTTAATTATTTTCTTTTCTGCATTATTTGCTGTATTAAGTAGAGACACTATAAAATCTGGTGTAGTTGGTCTTTCTGTCAGTTATGCTTTACAAGTAAGTTATAAATAAAATATCAGATACAAGATATATTATAAATAACACACATTATATATAAATACCAAGTAATATGTAAATATTGATTAACTTGATTTTAAAACAAATTTTTATAAAAATTATTTTAGATTACGCAAACACTGAATTGGTTAGTACGAATGACTTCTGACGTTGAAACTAATATAGTAGCTGTAGAAAGAATAAAAGAATATGGAGAAACTCCTCAAGAGGCAGTATGGAAAAATCCAGATTGTACACCACCTAAAGAATGGCCTGTGCAAGGGCGAGTAGAATTTAAAGATTACAAAGTTCGTTATAGGGAAGGTTTAGACTTTGTACTTTGTGGGTTATCGTTTTCTGTTAATGGAGGAGAAAAAGTTGGCATCGTCGGTAGAACCGGTGCTGGAAAATCATCTTTAACATTAGCTTTATTTAGAATAATAGAAGCAGCCGATGGAAAAATCATTATCGATGACATTGATATTGCTAAATTGGGACTTCATGATCTAAGATCTAGATTAACTATTATTCCTCAAGATCCTGTATTATTCTCAGGAAGTTTAAGAATAAATTTAGATCCTTTTAATTCTTATTCCGACGATGAAGTTTGGAGAGCTTTGGAACATGCACATCTTAAATGCTTTATAAAAAGTGAATATCATTTTATTGATAAAATAAAAAATTTTATTGAAAATGTAGAAAAATTACATAAAAAATTTAATACTTTTTACATTTTAGCTTTGCCAAATGGTCTTTTATATGAATTATCAGAAGGCGGAGAAAATTTAAGTATAGGTCAACGACAATTAATATGTTTAGCAAGAGCATTGCTTCGAAAAACAAAAGTATTAATTCTCGATGAAGCAACAGCTTCGGTTGATTTGGAAACTGATGATTTAATTCAAAGAACAATTAGACAAGAGTTTAAAGATTGCACAATTCTTACAATAGCTCATAGACTTAATACAATTCTTGATTCAGACAGGTACGTTTTATAAAATAAAATTATTTATAAGTAATAATTAATATTAAATGAAAAATCTTTAATAGGGTCATTGTTCTGGATAATGGGCGCATTGTGGAATATGATTCTCCAGAGTCATTACTACATAATTCAACTAGTTTGTTCAATAGTATAGCTAAAGATGCAGGCCTTGTTACATAAATAAAATGCATATCGTAAATATTATACAAGCAATGAAACAATGATAATTTTTAATCTATGAATATATACTAACAAAAAAGAAATATAGCAATTTGTTTATATAGAAAAAGGCAAAGACTATGCTTAAACTTAAAAGAATCGAAAATTTTGTAGAGCAACATTTTTCAGTCAAATCTTACACCATTTTTAAATAATGTCAAGTGTAGCCCATTTGTAAAATAGTACGGATGTCCGTTACTTAAAGTACTGCCATTTTAGCAACATACGTTGTGCTGAGTAGCAACAATTTTTAAATGTGTGTGTATATATATATATATTGTTTTAATAATTTAGCTTGCATTTCAAGCTTACACATTTAATTTTACACAATTTAAACAGCGTACAAAATACAACAGTATTGTTTAGTTTACTTTTATTTCCATTAAAATTTATTATACTCGCATTGTCCTACTTTTATTTTACATCACAAAAGTTAAATATAAATATGTGGCATTATTTACGTTTGCTGTTGATTCTTCCTTGTTAAAATTGTTACTTAACTCTGTACTGTTTGACAAATATGATGCATCTCCAAACTGTGTAAATAGTATCCTTTAATATTTATGAATTTAAAAAAAAAATAAAAGATTACAATTTTATATAATACATGAAAATTTTGTATTGTTTAATATTAATTCTTGCATTTTTATTGTTTAATATTAATTCTTCAAATATTATAAATTGTTTATATTTTATATATATATTGTATACCAACTGAATAGATAATAGATTTCAGTAATACAATGCAATATATGAAACAACCTAGTAAAAAGAATAATTAAATTTTGTTTTGTTTGTGATTTGTCATACCTTATTTATCATACTTATAAATATTTAGAACATTTTACTCGATAAAAATTGTATTTTTAATATTATATTTTATTATTTTTAACTACTTTTAATAATTATTTCAAGTAAATACTTATCTGAATATAATTACAATTGGTATAGCATTAAATAAAATACCATGAAGAAATTCATGGATAGTATTTCATAAATATATATTATGTATATATGTGTGTGTGCGTGCGTACATGCGTGCATGTGTGTGCGCGTGATTAATTTGTACTTTAAATTGCCTTTAAATCTATGTTACATTGTAATTTTCATAGCACATTTGTATAAAAAAAATTCGTCACTTGATTCAGAAGTATTATTATTTTATCTCCTGGTTAAATTCAAATATTTTAATAAAATAATTCATAACTGAATTTAGTAATACCAATATTTATTTTCGAAAATTAATTAAAATAATATATCAGTAAATCGTATAAAAATAAAATAACTTTTATTTGTTTTTTCCTTTTTATTAATTTTCTTCATAAATATAATATTTTATTGCCGGTAATTATGACAAAATTAAATGTTTGTTGACGATGATTTATTAGAAACAATAATTATAATTTTGTCTAAGATTTGTCTAACTTAAATTTTGTCTAACAATTTTTAACATATTCATATAAATATATTTAGAATTAGCTATTTTTTTCAAAACTGTTTGACAAAACTTAATGCATACATAGGTAACAGCAAACAAAATATTTGATGCCAGACTTGGTGCCAGACTATGATGTACATGTACAAAATATATTTTTTATTTAAATTATTCATGAAAATATGCATCTGTAATCCAGATTATTCCATATATATAGATATATGTATGAACAATTCATAGCTTAAAATATTTTTAAACATTCAAATAAATTTCATATTTGTTTGATTTGATATAGAATGATAACAATTGTTACAAAAGATTGAAATATAAACGAAACGAAAATATAAGTTTAAATCAAAGCGTGATAACAATTGTTTGTTAAAAAGAGCACATATTCATATCATTCTTTACAACTGTATTAAATTTTTTCTGATATTTTGCCAATTGCAATAAACAATGATATTCTTATTCAAGTACATCAATGTCTTTGCGAGGCTTTTCAATTGGCTAGATCTTAAAACCAAAAGAATATATACATACACACGTAGTTATATCAAAGTCACAAAGGCATTAATGCGTATAGATATATCCTTTGGTACTAATAAATTTATTAATTTGAGATAAAGTTTGAATAATATATTTAGTGCTAACATTATGTACCAGACATTACTCGTTCTTTTTATTTATTTCATTTTTTGGACGATCTTTGATAGATTCTTGTTTTTTATCTTTAGTTATTTTAGCTTCCATTTCGCCAGAAAAACCAAATTCGTTTACTCTGGTATGATCAGTTTTGTATATCCATCTTTGGTATAAAAATATAAAGAAAACGATATCATCACGGAAGCAACCAATTCTATATAGTGTTGGCATTTTTATAACAAATGCAAAAATATCATCAATAAACGTATTTAAAAATTTGTAAGACATCATACGCCATGGAAGATGTGCCACGCTTTTTAATTTATAATTAATAAATAGTTGTGGTGTCATCATAATAAATCCAAACGTTAATAAAAATCCATAGAGCATACTGAGAACCCAAGAATACCATCCTTTATGTTCTAAATACATCAATGAATAAATTGCATATCCTCCTAAAAGAGGATAAAGAGTCCATGATAAATATTTAAAAGCAAGTCTATCATATTCTTTTGTGGAAGATTCTACATATGACCCTTTATCATGGAAACTTATTTTTGGGAAGATACCAAGTATTTTTAAGTTTTTATCAACGGTAATATTCACGACCTTATTAATTTTCCATACTTCTATGCATAAACCTATTGCACAACTAATCCGAACTACTGTGTTTGTTTCATTATCAAGAACATACAATAAAACAATCAATGACTGAAAAACATTGAAAAATACAGATCGAACTGACAGTCCTTCCAATGAATTACGGTTGTTCCAGAATTGTATATCTGAAAAAATATGTAATAAAGCATTTCAAGATTATAATTAGCTATTTGCAAATAATAAATTATTTATCTTATACTTTACCATTTTTAAATGCTAAAAATTCAAATACACTGTGTAATACTGATACAATTATAGTCAGACCTAAGAGGTAAGGATTAGTTTCCAATAATGCTTCTTTCAAAGTATCTTGATCATTATCATCTTCATCTGTTGAATCTCCTATGTAAAATATTAGTAAAAAATTATATTTGTACTCACGATTAATATTATTGATAAAATAACATACCCATAAGTGACGATGTCCATTTATTTCTCATTGTTTGAGCTGCATAAATCTGCCACTTAAATAATGAAAGCGGCTGATAAGTTAATCTAAGTTCAAGTTCTTTTATAGTATCATTTAATGGTTGATAGTCTCTTTGCATATTCCAAAAATCATTCATATATATTACAGGCTTATAGAATTTTTCACCAGGTAGAAAGTGAATATCTATTAAAAAATAATATACATATATATTAATCATATACATATAAAAAAATTTAAAAATATATCACCAAAAACTCACATGTATCTAAAGGTGAAGCTACTTGACCATACACCCAATTAGTATGATCTGTTACTAAATTAATAGTTAAATTCGGATGCCAATGTGATAAATATTCTTGATTCATTAATTCTGCTTTCTACAATGAATATTTATCTGTAACTTCATACATGTATAAAACAAATTACAATGCGTACACACCTCGATTTCTTCTTTACTTGCAGTAGTCTCACCAGTTAATAGATTATGCTTCTTCTGATATTTAACTTTTTTGAATTTATTTAACATTTTTCTAGAGTATGACATATAATCTCCTGCGTAATTATTTTTTCCAACTTTGGGATTTGGAGACTTTCCACTTTTAGTAACATATATATGAAGGTATATGGATCCATTATTTTTTAATTGATCAGATGGAACAAATTTATAATTTTTAATCTTTGATCCATCTTTAAATGGTCCACTGTACCAATCTCCATATATCAATCCTTGTTCTAACCATACTAATGTTCTTGGATCGTCAAACTGCCTAAAATTCTCTGATTCCGATAAATAAACATGCATGTCAAATAATGTCCCATTCTCAAATATATTTACAGCTTGCAAATGTGCTGGATTTATAACACCAGGAAATTGAGAATTGTCAGTTTGAAGTCGTCTGAATAGATGACTAATACAATAAATGATGAGGGCACGTATAATTAATGATTTTGTTATTGCAAAAAATGATTCTAGACGTGATGGTTGATATTTTTTCCTTTGTTCGTCAATTTCTGCATTCACCTATGTATAAATAAAAGAAAATGTAAGTTTTTATGAAAGAGCTCTGACGAACTTCTGGTGAAAAAATTTGCGATATCATCCTCAGACAAAACAGGTTGTAGCGGTTATTTACATTACGTTTATTATATCGCTAAACGTCATTTATATATCATTGATAAATTTGTCAATTTAGTAAATTATAAAAATAAATGTTTTTATGATGTTTCTGGTGAAGGTAGCGTGTGAAAAGATAACGAAACTAAACTCATTAATTTCGGTAAAGTTATCAATAAATATTCCCAAGGGATAAAATAAATTATAAAATAGGAAAATATGTAAAACAATATATAATTAACACACATTTCTTTCCTCGTTGTTCTCTGTAGAAACTAACTCTCCATTTTGTCGATTGTTATCCATATTTTCTTTGATATTTAATTCCTTACGATCGTGATTATCATTTTCAGCACCCACCATTTTTGTGTTCGGATTGTTTCTCATGTATCCTCTTTACAGTTCCAGAGGGAGTTGCATGTACCGGATATACAATATATTTCATAGATCACGCGCTCCATGACACTGAACTTGAATTTTTCATATCTAATCAAACAATATAATATATATATATTAGAGTTATTATTTTTAATATTAGAACTAGATTCATTAAACTTATGCATGATATGTAAATTGATTTTTGACAAAATTGCAAACAATTTGTAACATTTAGCGGTCCAACTTGCAAAAAAATAAAAAACAAAAAAAAATAAAATAAGCGCCAGTTCTATTGATTTTCAATTTTTCGAGACGTTTAAATATCTTTTAATAAATTATTAGTATTGAGTTTCGTATCTATCTAGTGACATCTAACCAAAAGGATGGACGGTTTCGACCCAAGATTGGGTCGAAAAAAAATCATGTGTTTTGGCGGGAATAATATGACATCTTGGAACAGGTTAGATGCAATCTATTATCAGTTGTTGCAACAAACTTTTTGTTACGTTATTGCGTCGTATCTTTGAGTTGAGACCATGTGGTGTACAACGCCTGAAATTTCATGGCACAATCGTGATCCAGTATTAAGTATTGACATACAGACTGGAGTTCATGAAACGCCAGAGAATGAAATTTATTGGCGGCTTGCCACCGGCGGTGCCGACTCGCATGTCTTGGTAATATACAGTTTAAATTAGATATAAACTAGGGTATTGAGCATTTTTTGAATTACATTTTTTAAATCAGATATGGCATTTAACAACGAATGAAAGCGGGGCTGCTACTGTAAAGTGTGTAGCCGAGTTAGAACGACATCATAAAGCAATTAATGTTGTGCGATTTTCACCGTCGAAAGATATTTTGGCATCAGGAGATGATGGTTAGTAATATCACGAAAAATTAATTAAGACGAAGTTTTAAGATTAATATTGCATTTTAGAGTCGATTATAATTTTATGGAAACAAAAGGAAGATTGTGAATTCTTTGTTAATCCTAATGAAACTAAAGATAAAGAACAATGGATTTCCTACAAAGTGTTAAAAGGACACCTTGAGGATGTTTATGATATCAGCTGGTCACCAGATTCTAATATGTTAGTTTCTGGGTCTGTGGATAATACAGCTATTTTATGGGATGTTCAACAAGGCCGTTCTGTATCCATATTATCTGATCACAAAGGTTTTGTACAAGGAGTATCATGGGATCCTTGTAATCAATATATATCTACAATAAGTACAGACAGGTAAAAATATAAAATTTTAACAATATTCGTGATGCCTTTAATGTGTTGACCAAGTAATTTGTTTGTAGAATATGCCGTTTGATTGATATAAATACTAAGAAAACAGTCCAAAAAGTTTATAAGGCAAAAATTCCAACACCAGCAGATCATCCAATAAAAGATAAAGCAGTACGCTTGTTTTACGATGATACTTTTAAATCATATTTTAGAAGATTAACATTTTCTATAGATGGATTATTACTTATTGTACCTTCTGGTATAATTGAACCTTCAGAAACTACTGAAAGAATATCTAATACAACTTTAGTGTTCTCAAGATACAATTTAAAAGAGTACGTTTATTTGTACTATCATATATCATATAGCAGATATAATATGAAATATCATTTTCAGACCTGTCATGCTTTTACCTTCTTTGGATGAATGCACTATTGCAGTTCGATGTTGTCCAATTTATTTTAAATTACAAAAAGATGGACCGACACCAGTAATAGCATTACCCTATAGAATGATATTTGCTATTGCAACTCAACACTCAGTAATGATTTATGATACTCAACAAATTTCACCAATTGCTGTAATATCAAATATTCATTATACTAGATTAACTGATGTTGGATGGTAAGCAATACATATATAATATTATTTTTAAATGAGAAAAGATAATTAATCTATTTAATGTTCTTAGGTCAAGCGATGGTAGAATATTAATAGCTTCTTCAACAGATGGATATTGTTCTATAATACAATTTCAAAAAGGTGAATTAGGTGATGAATATAAAAAAGAAAATAATATCCCAATAAATTCTAATGCTATTCATAATGATTCTAAACAACCTATGTCTAGTTCAAGTGCTAAAGATGTATCTGAAAAATCTGTACCAACCATTGACATAGATAACAGTGCTATGGATATTGAAATTGTAAAATCAAAAGAAAAAGAAATTCTTAATGAAAATCCAGAATGTATCTTAAATCAAGATAATAAATTATTAGATAACACAATTCACCAAGAAAATGATTTAAAAAATAAAGAACCAGAAGATACTGAAGATATTAAATTAGTCTATAATGAAGAAAGTATTACTGAATCTACTAAAGCAAATATAAAACATACGCCTAAAAAAGAAAAAGTACCATTAATAATATCTAATAGAAAACCTCGAAGAGTACAACTAATTACACTTTCTAGTCCAAAGGGATTTAAAAAAGAGTAACTTTTAAATCTGAAACATGATTAGCGATTATGAAATATATTTACATATCTATATATATTTTTGTAATATTTCTTTTTGCATATTATATTTTGTATTGTATTACTATAAATATATAAATTATAGATTTAATTTATGGCTATTACTTTTTCCTACGTAATTTATTTTGTTATAATATGTTTAATTCTGCATGACATTATATAAAATATAATTAATGACATTGACCATAGATTTTATAATCTGAATATTTATATTCATATTTGCTTACATCAAAAAACGTATAAATTCTAATAAATTCATTAATTTTAATTATACAATTTACTATTTAAGTTTCAATTACTGCAGATACTATATTATTTATCATTGACACTTGTGAAATTTAGAACAGATACGTATTATATATCTATGAATAATAATATGGCGTATCGCAGTGATCTGACTATTCGTTCAGTCAGACAGTAGTTGAATCGTGGTTGGTTCTGACACGCTTTTACACGCTTAAGAATTTATATCAACAACCATGGTAAGTTAATTTATCATACATTTTATTGTTATTTTCATACTATTAACAATATAAATATAAATTATAATTATAATTAAAATTATAATCAATTAAAATTAAAATTATTTCACTTATAAAAAATTAATTAAAAACGTTTGTTATTATAAAATATTTTATTTAAAAAATATAACGTAAATTAAACATTTGAATTAAATGATATTACTCGGAAAGATTAAATTTTCAAATTGTTATATGTTAAAATGTTTAATAAATTGCTGATAAGATGTGAGAAACTGTGCAATATTAACATTGTGTATAGCCAGGATATCATGTAATTATGCTTCCTCCTAGTTTAATCGACCGATTAGAGAACTATCAATAGTAAATTGTGCACGAGACAGTTTCTAAAGTTAAGGTTCATACAACGGATACATTATAGTTGGATAAATATTTCAGGGAATCAAAGATTCGATTTTTTTACTAACGTAGCATAGAATCCAATGAACAAAATTCCAACTTATACCTATATTTCAAATTTTATTATTTGATTTTCAATTTATTCTATTAACTGCAATATTATATTATTTAAATTTTAAATAATATCCTTTTAAAATACACTTAACATTCTAATGATTAAATAAAGTGAAATAAACCGCTGCGTTTGTTAGTATAAATATTTCATAATTCACAATCGAAATTCATTCTATCATTATAAATTTTAAAACGAATTTTGAAAAAAGAAATATAAATTTTAAAATTCATATTTACTATTAAAAAAAAAATATGAAAGAAATGTAACAAATCGTTATGAATACTCTGATGTAAATTTATCTGATTTCTTCAAGTATTTATATTAATAGCATATAAATAAACTTTTTCTTATATTAAAAATGGAATCTCTCTAAATTTAATTAGATTATATTTTATAAATGTATTTATACGTGTATTTGAATGCATAATATACAAATGATCGATCGGATTAGTAATTTGTCTCTCTTATTGCTAAGATCATTTGTTTGGTGAATCGCAAAATCGTGTCACGCATAAAACGATGTTCAATCGATCAAGCTGCTATGGTTACAGTATGTCAACCTGTAAAAATCGATTTTTAGCATAATGCACATAGAGAATATAAAGTACCGGAAGCCTCTATGACTCTTCCTATGCACCGTGTGCATGGCGGCGACGAGTCTATCTCTAATAACTATACCCAAGAATGCAGCGTTCTTTTTTAGATCACGATTAAATTATTAAATGAAGATATGGTAGGTCAAGGTAGCTCTACCATTTATTGACAGGTATAACATTGCTTTATACCGATGGAATTTCGACATGTCAGTACGTAATCACATCGTGTTGAGTGCTTTAACTGATTTGGTTTAAGAATCAAGTGATTCGCTTCGTTTCAACTTATCGACATAAATAATAGCATTGAAAAAATTCGAGCTAACTTTATCTCGTTTATTTCTAACGATGAAAATTTTGATTTCACACTCTTTTAAACAAAAAAGAAGTAGTTCGTACAATTTTCATAGTTTGAAATGTTTAACGAAATAAGAACGTGCAAAAAAATCAATCGAACGTAGTACCAAAAAATAGAAAGAATAGACATAAATGGCGCAAACGATTCTAGGATATGTTTGAATATTATTTTTAAATGTTCTTTCGTTTGTGTTTTATAACTTTTTATTAAGCGCGACGATTAAAAGTAACTTGATCCCAAAGGCGTTGTACTAAAAATATAATGGCAAAAAAGGTATGGCATTAATTTTAATTTCTGGAAAAATTAATAGCAGGTTCGGCTGTTTAATTTTTAGTAATACGAATCTTCGACCGTGATTAAGATCGATTTAATAATAGACTGTGAATTTTTATATATTCATAAGAAATTTAAAGATACAAGAATGTATAGAATGCACATAATAAATAAAAATATGTAAGTAAATTCAAAATATATTAATCATTATATTTAGTAAATAAAACAATTGTCTATCTAAGTTTCATTTCTTTTTCAATTTATAAAATCTGATTTTGTATGAAAATCCGCAGTCTAATAATAATACATGATGTTAAAGTAAAGAAATTATTAGATATATTCGTTTATATATTAGCGAGAATGCATGTCCATTCATATTGGACAAGCTGGTGTCCAAATGGGTAACGCTTGCTGGGAACTGTACTGTTTGGAACATGGAATTCAACCTGATGGACAAATGCCCAGTGATACCACTATTGGTTACGGGGATGATTCTTTTAACACATTTTTTTCCGAGACAGACTCAGGAAAACACGTTCCGCGTGCTGTTTTCGTTGATCTCGAACCAACAGTAGTAGGCAAGTTATTGACAAAGACGAAGAAAACGTTTGCATTTCCTTACTAAAGCGTATTTACAATGCTTCAGATGAAGTTCGTACAGGCACATATAGGCAACTGTTTCATCCGGAGCAATTAATCACGGGGAAAGAAGATGCGGCGAATAATTATGCCCGGGGACATTACACTATAGGTACACGTACAATTTACGTAAATCGATAATTTCAACAACGAATTATTGAATTCTCTTGTTCTCCTCATTTCTTCCAATTCCAAATTGTACTGTCCAGGGAAAGAAATTGTAGATCTGACTTTGGATCGAATTCGCAGACTTACCGAACGATGTAGAGGCCTGCAGGGTTTCTTGATTTTCCATTCGTTCGGTGGTGGCACTGGATCAGGTTTTTCAAGTTTATTAATGGAAAGATTGTCCGTCGAGTATCCAAAAAAAAGTAAATTAACTTTTAGTATTTATCCCGCGCCTCAGGTAAAAAATCACTGGGAAATGCAAATTTTAAGTATTTGTTAATAATTGTAGTAAATTACATACAATATGATGCATTGTTTATCAGGTATCGACTGCTGTTGTAGAACCATATAATGCAATTCTTTATACACATCCAACGTTAGAACATTGCGACGTGGCCTTTATAGTTGACAATCAAGTATGTATTCCTTTTCCATATCTATAATATGATTCTTATGGTCAATTAAAGTTCAAGTTAAAAATATTATAAATCTCATGTGTTAATAATTGACAGGCTATTTATGAATTATGCAGAAGAAATTTAAGCATTGATAGGCCTACGTACACGAATTTAAATCGTTTAATTGGGCAAATTGTTTCATCGATCACCGCAAGTTTACGATTTGACGGAGCTCTTAACGTTGATCTTACTGAATTTCAAACGAATTTAGTACCATATCCGCGTATTCATTTTCCTCTTGTAAGTCAATTACAAACATTTTGTAATTATACTAAAAATTAAATTACAATTAGTTAGATTTACATAATGATGTTGCAAAATTTCATCGCGCTTAAACATTAAGATATTACTAATATTACTTCACAAGGCACGATCAAATAGCTTATATTACGTAGGCGACGTATGCTCCAGTCTTATCAGCTGCAAAAGCTGGTCATGAGAGGATCACAGTGGCAGAAATAACAACCTCGTGTTTCGAACCAAATCATCAAATGGTGAACTGTGACCCGCGTAGAGGGAAATACATGGCAGTTTGCATGCTTTATAGAGGAGATGTTGTTCCCAAAGATGTAAATGCTGCGATTGCGGCAATCAAAAGACAAAAGCATGTTCAATTTGTCGAATGGTGTCCGACTGGCTTTAAGGTTTGTTTGTTTAAATAGTCTAAAAAAAGAAAAAAGAATACTTAATACGGCTTTTAGAGCAGAATAAAAAACTGAATAAAAAGCTGAATAAAAAACATTTTTCTGTGTAAAAAGTTTTCTGTAGAAGATATTAATCAAAAGATCTGACTATATTAATAGAAAAAAATCAAATTTTAACAAATAAAGAATTCCATTTTATTTATTACATCTTTGTGTAGGTAGGAATAAATTATCAACCCCCTACTGTGGTACCTGGGGGTGATCTTGCTAAAGTAGAAAGGGCTGTCTGTTGTCTTTGTAACACTACTGCAATAGTTGAAGCATGGGCAAGAATCGATAACAAATTCGATCTGATGTATGCCAAACGGGCATTTGTTCATTGGTAATGCTAATACCCTTCTCATCATTCTGTTGTATCTATTTAAATTTGAGGAAAATTTTTTTTAATCTTTCAAACGTAGGTTTGTCGGCGAAGGTATGGAGGAAGGTGAATTTGCGGAAGCGAGAGAAGATTTAGCAGCTTTAGAATTGGATTATCGTGAGGTTCAAGAAGATGCTGCTAACAGTGAAGAAGAAGAAGAATACTGATTCTTTAAATATATAAAAAAATGTATTATTTACATCTGGCTTTCTGATCAAAATATACTAAATGAAATTAATAATTTACGTATTAATTTATCATGTGTAATTTATATTATTAATGCGCAATACATTAGACAATGAGAGAGCTTTATTTCCTTATTTTAATATCATCATCGATCTAGCATAGAATAAAATGACAACGTTTATAATATGGCACAAACGAGATAATAATAAATATGAAATTATATTTCGACATTACATTCGACAAGATATTTCAATAATAATTTTTACTTTTACAAAGATAGTTACTATTTTTTTTTATAATAGTCTAAAAATCTTCTCTCGATAAGAGAAATAAGAATTATTCGTGAAACAAATATGACTTATTTTGCGTAACAGCATTTTAGCAAGTGATCAACATTTGGATGTGCCGCGGTTCATTATGCACCTGCGCGAACAGTTGCGCATTTGTGAGAAAGTTTATATAAAAATCTTGAAAAATTTTCGTGAAAATCGTTGTTTTTATATTAATAATATACATCCATTGCTATTGTATTGTTCTACTGTGATATCTTCGAAATCAAAATCGAAAATATTATTAATAAAAATTAATGCCCATCAATGGTAATCTTATTCACCGCCATGAAACAATTTTTCAACGCAAGTTTGAAAACTTTTTACGATTACTTATAATAAATTATATATTCTGTTAAAAATTTTATAGTAGTATTTAGATGGTAATATACAGGGTGTTACCTGTAACGCGACGCACGATTTTTCACCCACTTACAGTCATCTGACAAAAAAAAGTTTAGAACAAAAGTTGAACGGTACAAGGGTGCTAAATTTTCCTAAATAGAATACATATAAAACAAGATACCTTATGATTACAAACGAAATATTTATAGAATTCTATATCTTTACTTACATTTATGTTTGGATGTTACAGTTAGATTATTTTAAATCTAAAAGAGAACAGATACCAACATAATTATGTTCCTAGAATAAAATTTAGTAAACTTATTTTTGATTTCGTATAGCATTTTATCAATGATTTGGTATGTTTCAATAATCATAAATCTTATTTATTATCATCATTAACGTTATAATGTATCTATGTATATGGAAGTAATTGAAGTAATTTAGTATATTTCTGTTAAAACAAAATGTCACCAACTGACTATATTCTATTATTACATTGTTTTCTCATCCTAAATATCAAACGAATGTTGCCATTTACCATGTATGTTTAAAAATATTTGTCTAACAATATTAAAATAAAACTATGTAATACATCAAAATATCGTATAACAAAGATAATATTACTTACAGTTTCTGAATATTAAGTTTTTTAAAATGTTAAACCAACAATGTGCAGTTTTAACTGCTATTGACTCGTATATCGAGCCACTTATAAATCGTGTTTTATCAACTGATAAATTTGGTTAGTTCAACAAAATATATTATAATCACTTTTAATTTAGCCACATTATTATTTGCAATAACACACTGTTATTTGTATATTTTGTTTATCAGGAGTTTGCTGTGAAACAATTAAGATAGATTCTATGTCATCCAGTTGTGGAAGTGTACAAGGAGATCGTTTTAAATTATCTATACCCTATGCTAGACAAAATTTAACTTGGAATATATTCTTTGATTCACAATGTCCAGAAATGGGACCTGATTTCATATTTAATGATAATACTTTCTTAGCAGATATGGATGTAGATGCATTATCTACCAAAGTACCTAGTCTTGCTAAATGGAATCCTAATGATGAAAATGCATTATTAAATGTCCTTAAAGAACTTTTATCATGTTATAAGCAACATCAGGTGACTTTACTCATTTTGCTTATTTATTTATTTATTTATAGCTTTTGAATATTGGAACTATATTAAATTTAATGTCTTATTTACATTAGATTCAGTTACTTCAGAAGCAAACTCGGTTACAATTACAATATAATATGCTAATCAGTTCAGCAGAAGTAGAAGATGTTGAAGTAATATTGTTACCATTTAGTTCTAAACCAACCGAAGTTAGATTTCTAATAAGTTTATCAGTAGATCTTTCTCAACTACAAAATCGTACTAGCAAATCAGAAAGTGATATTGTAATGCTTCTTGTAACATATTGTGGAGTAGATTGGAATCGTATTACTCCACAACTTCATTTTTCAAAATCTTTAGAAGAGACTCTTGGCGGAACAGGAGAATTACGTCTACCACAATTTCCATCTGATACATCTCTAGTACAGTATATACTAAAAATAAAAAAATATGTTGCAGGAAAGGTATGTAATTTATTTTAATTGAGATTATACTTGTAGAAATTATCAATAAAAGAAATACTATTTTAGGTAAATTCAGCAATCCAAAGTTTAGAGAAAAGAAGAGATTATATAGCAGCATTTTTATGTATCAATCATTTGTGTATTCTAGAATATGATACTATAAACTGTAAATATGTATCATGTATATTATGTGAAGATGACTTTTATGTAGTAATGCACATTCAACTTCCATTAGGATTTCCTCGAGAAGCACCTATAGTTGAATTTAAGTCAGTATATCATATGTCTTCAGAGCATGTTCCTTACAGTGAAAAAATTAAACATTATCCCTATGATTTTAAATGGCCACCACACCATATGATAAGAGAGTTATATAAGGCCATGTACCAGCAAATTAAGATATTTAAATTAAATTCTATTAAAAATTGTTCAGAAAATCATAGTTAATTTAGTAAATAATTTAAATTATTACATTTATTTGTAACATTAACATAATTTTCTCATTGTATATATTAGTTATCCTTTCTAGACAAGTCTAGGTAAAAATAATCATAAATATAGCATTACCAAAAAATTTATTAATTTTGTAATGTTAATATTTATTTTCTGTAAAATTGATAAAAATAAAAAATTTTCTACTTAATATATGCGTAATTTTATATGTAGAGTGAAAAACATATAAAACGTAAATTATCAAAAATATTGTGATAAATTTTAGTTACGTGATTCAATCGATTGTCGTGAAAATAATTTACGAAACAGTTTTGAAGGATGCAATAAAACTAATTTCATACGTATAATTTTAAATGCAATTACTGAAAAATATTACTAAATAAAACTAATTAACATTTGAAGTATTTGTTGATATTAATAAAAGAAGCATTCAGTTTACTGTAAGAGGTTATAATATTTTTTTTCATTATATATTATATTTATAATAAATATAATAAAAGTAATACATGATATCATATATTAAGGGTTGCATAAAACCCTTTCCTATAATAAATAAATTTATTTTTTCTGTTGGAAGAATTTCATATGTCACTATGGTGAAATACTTGAATCAAACGGAAAGCATCAATGTAGACAAAGATTTATTTGAGAAATATAAATTTAGTGTCGATCAATTAATGGAACTTGCTGGCCAAAGTTGTGCTATTGCTATTGCCCGTACTTATCCATCACTTAAAAACTCTACACAAAAGATTTTAATTTGTTGTGGTCCAGGAAACAATGGTGGTGATGGACTTGTCTGTGCTAGACATTTAAAACAATTTGGATATTTACCTGAAATTTATTATCCTAAAAAGACAAACAATACGTTATATGAAAATTTGCTACATCAGTGCATTGAAAATGATATTCCTTTGCTAGAAGATAATGTAGAATACATTGCTTCGAAGCAATTGCATCAATTTGGTCTTATAGTAGATGCAATATTTGGATTTAGTTTTAAACCACCTGTAAGGGATACATTTATCCCTATTATTTGTCTGTTGCAAAATACAACTATTCCAATTTGTAGCATAGATATACCATCAGGTTGGAATGTTGAAGAAGGACCACCTACAGAAGGTGGGATAAAACCAGAGATGCTTATATCGTTAACAGCACCAAAATTATGTGCTAAAAAATTTGAAGGAAAATACCATTACTTAGGTGGCCGATTTGTTCCTAAAAAATTGAATGAAGCATATAATCTCAACTTACCTGAATATCCAGAAACGGACTCAATTCTTTTATTAAATTAAATCTTTGTGTAAAATTTAATTATTTGCTTTTTTTGTATACGAATATATTTGAATATTAATATGCGCAATATGTACAATAATCGAAAATAAAATATTTATAAATGTTTTCAACAATTAAATTATTTCACATTAATATGTATATTACATATTTATACATTATTACGTATTATGTAATGAAATAAGTATAAATAGTGATAATTTTTTATTTATGTATAACATTCAATAAATATTATATTATTAAAAATTATACTTTGTTTTATTTTAATTAAATAATTTAAATCTACCGCTACATGTACGTTTTCCATGTATCTAGTAGTAGTACCTAGGTGGCGGTTAAAACCTAACAAACTAACATCCATATATGCTATCTTCATTGTAATATAAAATATATAAACTAGTAGGCGGTACGATCCAAGTAACGTTTTGTCAATACCAAATTTGTTACAAGTTATTATTACGAATTTTATAATTAATATTATATTTAATACAGTACAAATTAATAAGTTTAAAAAATGGTAGGTTAATGATAAATTATTTGCTTTTGGATATATTATTTTATATGCTTTAGATTAACATATCTTTTCTAAGGCACAAGAGGTAGAAGAAACTATGAAACGTATTCAATCACACAAGGGGGTGGTTGGAACAATTGTAGTTAATGCAGAAGGTATATGACATGTTAATATGGCTGATACTAATATGATATTATGCAAGACTTAACAAAAATTTACCTAGGTATTCCAATCAAATCTACATTGGATAATACTACAACAGTTCAATATGCAGGATTAATAAGTCAACTGTCAGACAAAGCAAGGTCTGTAGTAAGAGATTTGGACCCAACAAATGACCTTACCTTTCTACGTATTCGTAGTAAAAAACATGAAATTATGGTAGCTCCAGATAAAGAGTTTATACTTATAGTAATACAGAATCCAGTTGATTGATAACCGAAAGAAACAGTAATATATAAAATATATGCTTTGCTAATTGTTAATTATTTCATATAGCACATTTCATTTTAGTGCTATCTACATAATATTAATGTTAAAAACAAAATATCGTTTATGTTTTAAATTAATGGTAAAGAATGTGTTTTATAATGTCATTCTTAAATATCAATGTTTCAAGCACTGCAAAACAATTAAACATAAATATAATTAGATCACCTATAGAAGCAAAAGTTATTTATTGACATTGCAATTAATATATATATTCAAAGAATTTTTATTATGTAATTAATACTTCATATTATTTCAAATAAATTTGGGTTACTCTAAAATTTAATAAACTTTATATTTATTTTAAAAAGTTTCATTATTGTATATTCAAAAGTGTTTTCAAATATATATTGCATTTTTGTAAATATATGTGTAGATGAAATTTAAAATTTTAATTAGAATTTCGTATAAAAAGATTTATAATATATAAATGATTAAGATATTATAGAAATAATTGACTTTATTTATTACAAAAGTATATAAAATACATCTATTGAAGAGTATATTTGGAGTACTTAAACTTAATGAAGAGAAATTTGGAGTACTTAAACTTAATGTTACAATTTTTAAGTTTGAGATTTTTTTCATTTTTATATATTTATGTTTTAAATACTTCTATATAGAATTGATAATGGTTATAAAGAGCATAATAAAAACTGTCTACAACATGTAGTATCAAAATTATTTACTTAAGATAATTTTTTTGACTTTAAAATTTATATCAGGTACAAAGTTAGAAAAATGTAAAAAATAACTGATAAAAATGGATGATTACTAATAAAAATTACATATTTACAACATTTTACGAATAAAATGACCTAAAATTATATATTTACACAGTTTTGATGTTTTAAAGAAGGATGGAAAATGCCATAATAAACAATCATAGCTGTTACACCTAATAAAAATGGTACAATACAAAAAACAATGAGTACATTGAAGTACCAAGCATTTTTAACTTCATCTGATGAAGTATATAGCCAAATTGCAATTGCTATTAAATTTTCAATAAAGCATATTACATAGAAAAGTACATGTTTAAGGAACGTATTACCATCTACTGTTTTCAGATATATAAACACATGTATCACACCAATTACCATGGAAAATAATATAGAATAAACGCGTTCTTTAATTTTTGGGGAACAATGTGGAGCCTGATTAGAATCCTTACAAAATTCCAATATACCACGGGAATCAATAATGATCCAAATAGTCATACATATCCAATGAAAAATACAACCAATAGCAGTATATAATGGCCACAAACTTGCCAAAACACTTAGAGATAATATCCTTGAAACTAAAAAACTTGTTAGAAATATAGATGTTATTTTTTTCTTTTATATAAAGCAATGTACATACCCGTAGTACAAAAATGCCATAAAAATTGAAGAACTGTTCCTGTGTTGCCAATATTTAATTTATCTTGTTGAACCAATCTAATGCTACGATGATAACTAGCCATTGCCCATCCCATACTTCCAAGTGAGCTAACAATACTAGCTACCTGATGAATAACTATAATTTAGATGAATATCAATTTTGTTCTGTTAATTAATATTACAACAATAGCTATATGAAAATATATCTACATTCAAAGTTAATATCATTGTGGTAATGTTTTAGCAATATAGTTAATTGTAAAATTTGTTGAGGGGCTGCTTCAAGAAAACATTCAGATACTCTTAATAATGCGACATCCTGATCTTCCTTTAGCATTTTAAGGTAATATCGCTTTTGAACAGTACGGTCACCTTGTTTTTCATATTTATAAGCATTAAGAGCATATTTTAATGTTCTGTAATAACGTAATACTGGTGCTAATTGAAATATTACAACTACAATGCAACATAATTTTTTTGTTAACATTGCATGTACACAATTAAATTTGGAAGGATTTGTTGTTTCATTTTTCTAAAAGACAGAATGACTTGAATTAGATGTTTAATAGTATCATTGTTTTTACTAAATATAATTTGTTACCTTGTCATCTTGTTGTTGCATTCTTCTGCTGATTATACAATTTATAAATGAAGGTAAAAAAATAAAAACTGTTGTCCATGTAAAGTATATTATTCTATTATGTAATAAATATCTTATAGCAAGATTAATATCAATTGCCATGTCTACAATATGTGTAAGGATTGAAGATACCAGGAAAAAAATATCCAGGTATGTTATAGTTGGATTTTTCAAAGGAACATCTACATCATCGACATTTAAATCCAACACAGGAAAAATGCCAATAACTTGTTTTGTACGTAGATGTTTATTACTCTGAAGTTCCATATTTAATTATTATCAAATATCTCCAGTAAAATACTCCACATTCAAAAACATATTAAAAATTCCTAATTGTAATTCTTGCTTTATTCATTGTTTATAACATTTTTATGTTGATATAACCTTTGTATAAACTTTATTTTTGTATTCAAACATTCGTTGTTTTATTGTTTTCACAAAATTTCTATTAAATATTACTTTTACTTTACTAATTGTCTGTAACGAAATACGTTTATATCTATTTTAATTGATATATAAATATAATTTAATACATTTCACATCTTATTTCTTTTTTTCAATCAAACAGTAAGTCACAAGTGCAAGTGATACACGATAGTGTGTGAAACTTGATGGCATTGTTGAAAATAGAAATTTATTGGAGATTTAATAAAATTAAAAAAATTTATTTTATGTCAAACGTCATAAAACATTTTTAGGTAAAAAGTATATATATATATAATATTGCCTTGCAAATTGACCGCTGATCCAAATTATCCCAGTTAACAGAATCCGTAGAAAGGCTCGAGTAAAATGAATCGGAAAATATAGTAGTAGTGTATATCAAACATAAATAAAGTTGCATTTGTACTTCATGAAAATACTTCAAAGATGATGAGGATAACAATGATCAAATATTAAGGTCAATAGTAAGGTATAGTTTCTGGTCAGTTAATGAGGCAGTATTGTTTATATGTATATTATTTTGCGTTGTCATGACAATCCATAGAATCTAATGACATGATCGTATGTAGAATTGTGATTTTACGAATTATTATTCATTAGTGCATTATCTTTTTGTAATAAATGAGTATAATAAATACTAAAAGATATCTAATTACTATAATCATACAATATTTGATACTGTTTTTTGATATTTTTGTTAATTCGTTTGCTACTTTCTCTCGAGCGAATCCAATTAATTTGTTAATTCTCTACATGTACGTACTGTTCATACCATTGATATAATAAATACATGTATTTGAATTGTATTTTTTTTTGTTTTTAAGGGCTCAAGATGTTTGTCTTATCACGACTATCACACTTTTACTAGTTAACTTTTTTTCCACTTACATTTTTCAGGTAAATATCATTGAAAATAATAACATCTGACAACTAAGTTTAAATAATATTGTAAAAAGTATATCTTTCTCACACAGATAGGATTAATACAATTATTATATACAAAATTTCGTGTAACATTAATATTATGTATCATATACATAACATTAAGCATTAGTCTACATACATGGGACATTAAAATACATTGGTCATCACCTCTTAAATATTATTGGACTAAAGATTTTCATGTCTTTTACTCATTACATAGAGGAGGTAATATATTTATAATAAAATTTTATGTATATGATGTATTTATAATTTTATATTTAGTTGCAGTTTTACACTATTATCTCTATAAGAGGGCATCTCTTAGACTTGCAGATCCAAGGTTCTATGAAAGTTCAACATGGATTCAAAATCAGTTCAGTTTGCCATAATATTTATGAACAAATGAAATAAAGAAACTAATAAAAACTTTTCATTTGTACTAAGTAAAAGATATTGAAGATAAAAAAATTTTCTTACAATTTGTGTAAATATCTTTATTTTACTTTGTTTATAACAAGAATATAGTTGAAACAGAAAATTGAAGTGGTATAATTATTGTATTAATTTAAATGGAATAATTTCTTTTATCTTAATTTGAATTTCTCAAAAACATTTATCTGATATGCAAAATGAGTCAATAAAAATGTCCATCTAAAATAACTCATTTTCTAGTGATTTTATAAAAAAAATTTTTGAAATGAAATTTTTTATATGCAGATTTTATAAAATTAGAGTTAGAATTACAATTAGAATACCTCTTAAACTAATAATTTTTTGATGTTTATAGACTACTACTTTTTTTATACAAAATATTAAGCTGCATCAAATAGTGGAACAAAAAATATCAATATAATCATTCCATTTAAAAAACTCAAGATCATCTTGATATTTTCGAAATACTATATCCAAAAATCGAAACAAATTTATCTGATTAGACCCTTCAAGCACAATAAATTTCATTTCAAACATTTTTTTTTTTAAATTACTAGGAAGCAAATTATTTCAGGTAGATGTTCTCACTGACTCATCATATGTAGATATATTGCAGATGTATATACAATATATAATAGCAATTAATTTTCAATATTATTTTTAAGAATAATTCATTTTATATACAGTATAAAAAGTATTATAGTAAAGTATTTTTTACAATTGTGTTGATATTTTACAAAAATAAAATGTAAAATTTTATACAATTTATTATAAATATAGATTAAATTAATATGAAGCATATGTATGTGTAACTCATATTATACAATATTATATTACATTTAAATATTAAATTAAGAATCATTAAACAAATAAACATATAAAATATACTAATAATATTATGATATATGTCCTATTATTCACAATATAAAAATATTAATTTGTACTAAGTTAATATTTCTAAAATATAAATTAATATCACAATTGTTTGAAGTGTATTAATAATAAAAATAGAAGTGAGAAATAATCAAATGATTTATTTATTAAGATCATTATTTCTGTTATTATTACTATTAATTAAAGAAATTACGAGAATTTTTTTGAGTTGGTATAAAATTTACAATGTTATTTAATTTAACATCTGTATCTTTAATATATACAAGTAAATTTATTACAAATTATTTATTAATTATTTCACATTTGCATTTCAACTTTAAGTCGAGTATTAACAGTATTTCTTTGCAAAAAATATAAAGATTATATGAAAAAATTTAATTTCGCATCTTTATACAATATTTATACCGTCAAAATTTTATTTTCAATGTTTTGTAATATTTAAAAATTTTTATAAAGATTAATACATCATACGTGTAAACAGAACATTATTATCTCTATAGTAATTTCAATAAATAATATTTTTATTTATTTTTTATTTCTCAATTTTGTGTGAGACTATTTTGATAGCCTTTTTTTCTTTTAAATAAATACTGTAGATTTATTTGGATAATAAATCAAGACATATTTTCTTATTTAAAATGTAAGATAACGATTTCAAAATATGCAATTTAGATTTTTGTGAAAATAAATATATTTCCTTTTCATAAAACATTTAACAAATGTATTTGTACATTTTTCAATTTTAATTTTTACTTTTAGAATCTATAAAATATTTTGATAGTTCAATAAAAATAAAAATGAAAATATAAGCTTTATACAGTGGCTAAATAAATTATATATAATAAAATTGAAATACATTGATATTAAAACTAATTTAAATTAGCAGCTGACGATTTGAATTTACCTATTAACTTAAGTTATATAAAAGGAACTAATGTTATAATTCAGTGAAACTTAATGTCTTCTTCATACAGTATGATTACCATGAAGGAAGAGTAACTTATCTATTAAATGAGGAGGTAAGGCCGTTCGCCTCGTATCGTATAAAACTTGTATCTCTGCTGGAATTCTAGAAGGTGGTGCACAACATGCAGGTACACAATTATATTTACAAGCCAATTTACCCAAATTTGGGCATTTTGCAGAAATTTTGGCCCACCATTGGAGAGGGCAGTAATCAAGTGGTGCAGTAGACTCAGAATGATATTGTACAAGTTCAAGGTCTGCCTTTTCTTCTGCAGGCATCCCACTTTTTATTGAACATAATCCTCCAAGCAAAAATTCCATGCCTAAATGTAATTAAAATATATTCTTTTGCCAGTGATTTTAAGGTCAAAATCATTATATAATATTTACCTGACACACGGCTTTTCTTAGCCAATGGTTCTTCTTCAACTTTTATATTTATATTATCACCAGATTCTTCTTGTATTAGTTTTGTCAACATTTCTTTTATGTCAGTTGCTACTGAATTTTTATCTTCTTCAGTAGCATATGGTAACTGCTTAAACCTAATATGTCATGCAACATTATTTTTTAAAATTTAAAATAAAAGTAATATAAATAGTAATGTATAATTACCTTGGATCTAACGTAGTTGCAATTTGAAGTAAAAGAGTGACATTATAATCTGCATATCTATCACAAAGCATATCAGATAAAGATTCTTTGAAAGCCTTTGCTTTTTCACTGTCACTTTCTTTTATTTTAAGATGGGAAGATACAAGCTGCCAGAGTAATGGTTTTAATAAAGATATTAATGGCATTTTTTCCTCACTAAGTGTCATAATAGTAACTTTAAATGGCTCAAGCACATTTACAAGATCTTCTATGATCTTCCACTGATCATTTGTTAAATCAATTACTTCTTGATCAATACCTTCCATGCTTTCTAAAATAGATGTTACAATATTGCGACGAAGAACCATTTGTTCAAGCATATTATATGTTGACGTCCATATAGGTGGATAATCCATTAACATAGCATTCTCTTCCAGCTGCAATTATATCAAATACATTTTAAAGCAAAAAGTTAGTACATTTTTTTAAAATGATTTATTTACAATAATATTTTTTTACTTACTTCCAATAATTGTTCTTGCATAGCTAATGCTGCAGATGCAGCTGGATGACTTATAATAGCTCCGATAGCTGCTCTACATTTTGACAATATGGTAGCAACTTCTGGACTATCGAAGCAAGCTTGAGCACACACTTGTAAGGTATAAAGTAAACAAGGAACTAAAGTTAATCCACGATTTGTTAAAGCATTCAGTAATTCTATCCTGGATGTGGCTACCACTACTGCAGTTACTCTTTCTATTTTCAAATCCCAATCAAGTAATAAAGAATCTATCATGTTACCCCAATGAGATTCTTCCCAATCTAAAGGGGCATGAATAGTACTTAACACTTTACATTCTAACACTGGTTCACCAGAGTTTTGATAATACACAGAAACAGTAACAAATTTTTCATCAGAATTTGATTTCCATTCTTCGATAGTCAAACCTACTTCACTTGTGATACAAGACAGAGTTGTTGCTACTGATTCGCGGAAAGTATCATAAATCTTTGGTATTATTTCCTCTTCCAGTTTATTTTTACTAGGAATCTCACAAGGTGAACGTAACGTTGCAACTAGTCTTTGAAAACCACGTCCTTCCACTACCTCTGGTAATTGTAAATCCATAATAATAAATTCAGCTATGGCATCTGATACAGTCTTTCCATCAATGCTTGACTGATTGATGGGATGATCCTCCGGCATGAGAAAAGCCAGATTTTGACTATTGTTCCCAATGTTGGAACCACTTTTAATCATCACTCTCAAGGGTTGGCCAATTGTGATATCATCTTCAATGTTGGACAAATTTATATTTGGATCGGTTACAAATTGTATATCTCCATCTATTTGGACGGTGCCATCCGCATTGGTAGTGTAAATATGCTGGGTAGAAGTTAGACCTGTTTTCAATAATTTTTTTTGCGCTCTTCTATCTTTTGTCTCCTGAGAAAGTACCTGCCTGCGTGGAGGATTGGTGGCTTCCAGCTCTAGAAGTTCTTGAGCATGTTTATTTTGTAAGTGCATGCGTAAATTACTGGTATTACGATTATATGCAATCTGTGTTTTACATAATATGCAAACAATTTTTACTTTAGTGAGAATGTCTCCATCATCCGTAGCTGGAAATCCGAAAAATTTCCAGTAAATACTTCTCATCGACATAGGCACTACTAATTTCTTATAAGTGTAAGTATACTTTTCTTCCATCATTTTGGCGAGTACCATTTGCATTTCACTTTTCGAATCATCTGTGGCAGATTTTCCGCTGTTAGGTAATGTTATTGGTTTACTTTCCATAATTGTAGATGAAAATACATAAGTGCCGGCACGTCGTACTTTTCACTTATTAAAATACATATGTACGATATATCTCGTTGTTATAATATTTCATGATGTTTCTCCTCATCAAAAATGGAAGATTTTCGTTGCATAATTTAAAATACATCTGTTTATGAAGATGCACGTTCCTTTTTACACGTCAATCTTTCTCTATGGTTATGAGGGAATAACGAATTTACCGCGAATATTCCGATATCTCAAAGCAGCAGTTTGACGAATTATTTTACAGATATCGAACTTCAATTTCTCGTTTCGAAAAGAACGATGCACGATCGGTTATCGATCACCTCTCGTAACGATGCTATCGACTTTAGTTCATTTGCTCAAAGAAATATCGCTACGTAGACCTCTCAACTAATCGATTCCGTAAAACAGAATAGTTTCAACGAGGCGACATCTGTATCGATTGCTCGATAATATCTCGTATTGTTCTTCAAATTAATTGCAAAACGTATATAAAAGCAGAAAATAAGTAATATTATTCGCTATTTAAGCATAAAATTAATAATTGAAAATTGCATGCAAGACAGTTTGTTAATACTAATATGTTAGATATAATTCTTTCATCGAAAGTAACGACGATGATTTATTCGAGAGATAAGATATCCTTGCTACGTACCAAATACTTGCGTGCTGTGTTATTGTAAATGTAACATTTATAATATTGTTAATAATGATATTAATAAGAGCAAAAGGATTTTTGTAAAAGGATAAGTAAATGCGGCAACTTCGAATGAAATAATCAGTTCTGAAAAAAATAACCTGTAATTTCATTTTTGTCACATTCTTTTTATACTTTTATAAACATTGTTTAGGATATATTATATGGTTTTTTGTAATTTTTAAGAACACTTCTATCTTTAAGGAATTATTTCGAAACGCAAGAAATGCATATATCGAAGAAAACAAAAGTACTGTCTTGTTTGATAATATGGAGGTTAATTTCCGTCTTTGTCGTTCAAACTGCCCACGTACCAGATGAATATTGGCAATCGTTAGAAGTTGCTCATCGTTTAGCATTTGGTTATGGATATCTTACATGGGAGTGGGTCATGAAAATTCGCAGTTACACATATCCAGTTTTGTTATCCATTATGTATCGCACATTAGCATTGACATCATTAGATTATGTAATAATTTTAACAGTACTACCTCGAATATTTCAAGCAGTTATAAGTGCTTACGGAGAATACAAATTTTATAAATGGACTAAGAACAAATGGACACTGTACAGTTTATGCATAAACTGGTATTGGTATTATTGTGCCACTCGTACATTAATAAACACTGTAGAAACTGCATTTACTATGATAGCTTTATCTATATTTCCATGGCGAGACAGTAACATCAAAAGTGTAAGATATTTATGGATTGTCGGATTTTTATGTATGATTAGACCTACTGCTGCTATTATATGGTTACCTTTATGTCTTTATCATTTATGTACAAGTTTACAAAATAAGTTAATGTTAATACGTCAGTACAGTATAATATGTGCTATCTGTTGTTTCAGTTCAATATTATTGGATAGTTATTATTATGGTATGTTAATTATTTCTCCTTGGGAGTTTTTTCGTGTGAATGTACTTTATAAGATTGGAGATTTATATGGAACGCAACATTTATTATGGTATATTATATGTGGATTACCGGTACTTTTAGGATGTTATTATATTATATTTTTATTATGTATTTATCAAATAATGAAACATTCATCCATTTTTCATCGTCAAGCAGTTATGTTAATTGTTATAGGTTGGACACTTGGTGTTTATTCTCTGTTACCTCATAAAGAATTTCGATTTTTATTACCTCTTTTACCAATGTGTCTATATATATGCACTTCTTGTACATTCTCTTTGAATGTGAAATTCATAAAAACAGCAAAAAAAAGTTTTGTGGGGCTATTAATATTAACCAATGTGTTACCTGGCCTTTACTTTAGTTTAATACATCAACGCGGATCGTTAGATTTAATGAACCTCCTTCATAAAGAAATTATTAATACTGATAATAACAACATATTATTTCTGACTCCTTGTCACGCTACTCCTTTATATAGTTATTTACATATGAATGTATCTACCAAAATATTAACTTGTGAGCCTAATTTCACTAATAATACAAACTATATGGATGAAGCAGACATATTTTTTGCAAATCCAATGCAATGGCTTGATAAAACCTATAACAGTAACAAAAATATTACAATTCCCAATTATGTGATATCGTTTGATCATATTGTACCAAAAATAGGTCGATTTTTGAAACAATATCAATTATCGTCCCAAATTTTTTATGCGCATTTTCCACAATTAAATTATGGAAAATATATTTATGTATATAAACGTAAATAAAAAAGGGAAAAGAAAGGTATAAATAATAGATACAAATAATGAAAAATATAAATAAATAAAAAAAAATGAAAAAAGGATATGCATTTATTGTATCTATTATCTTAAAAAATTATCATTTATAATAGTATATATAAGTTAATTTAATTGTATGTAATTCAATTATTGTCATAATACTTAATATATAATTTGTTATTTTTATTTATTTTCTGAAATAAATACATTCACAATCAATAAGTGGAAATAATAATATAACATGTTTATAATAATATAAAATCTAAGATTCTGTGGATTTAAGAATAACAGATTATTTATGTAAACGAAATTGAAGTGAAGAAAATAATGAAGAATAAGAAATGGTAGAATTCCTGTTGTTATCTTTTGTAAAATGGAGGATAGTAGGAGAAAAGAAAGATAATGCACAAATTTTTTTGAAAACATTAACAATACTGAAGAATAATAATATTAATAGTCATCATATTAATTATCATTTATAATTTAATATTATTTTATCACATTATTTAAATTTTTAAATATCTATGTAACAATTTTCAGTTTATATGCAAATAAAAAAGCTTTGTCATTACTTTAACTGATAATTAATTTTCAATGAATGAAACAAAATACATAAATGGGCACTTTCTTAAAATTAAGAATACTATAATATATTCGTATAATATATTTTATACGATTTTAAGAAGAGAAAGAAAGAAGAACAATGAACATAAGTAGAAAGAAATTACATGAGAAGAAATGAACAGAGAAGGACAACAGAATTATCAGTACTAAGCTAAATTCAAGAATCGCGATCGTAACCGCGAGTAAAGAAAGGCGGACGTGGTAAAGTAACGCAAAGTAAAGTAAGGTAACTCGTGGCTATAATCGAAGGTACGGTAAGATGGTGCAAGTGGGATGGAAGAAAATATAAAGAGGGGACTGACTACATGGAGTCAACGTTCCGAGCGGGTCAGCGACCAGCTCTGTCTTTTTCTCTCTTACATTCTTCTCCTTTCCTCTATCTGTGTCCTTTCCACTATCGTGATATTCTTCTTTCATAGTTGTCTTTCCGTATTAGAAATTTTGTTTTATACTTCGTTTCATTGGACGAGAGAATCTTAAAATGTCTTATCGTTCGAAACATATCTTCAATGAATGCTCGTCGTCGGATTCAAACAATATATTCGATGATTTAAATATAATAACGAGGAACACGATTCATCACGGAAGAAGTATCGTGATTTGTGATGGTTTGAAAGTTACGTACGGCTATGTGTGTAGGTACGTAAGACACGAATATAATCCTTGTCGGAGAGAAAGTTCTGCACAACGGTGAATCCGCTCCCCTTCCTTCTCTATCGTGAAAGAGCATCCAAAACGAATTGTTTCATCGCGATGTATAGGCAGTCTAGCAAAATTTCAGATGATGGATAAAAACTGAAGATCGATCCTGTTGTTTCAATCTAATGATACGAAATTCTCGAAAGTTTATACATTATATAGGTATTACGTTTTATTTTAGACGTTTTACATCTACGTTATGCATTTTATCGATTCTTTTTAAATTTTTATTATAGCTTTTATAGTTCAGTAAAACAGCGAAAGTTTCTAAAAATAAAATACATAGGTAAGTCCAATAGATTAGTTTCACGCTCGTGGACGTCAGTAGGTTAAGTTATGCGATGACCCTGTCGTAACGTATTTATAATTACATCGATTTGTAAGCAAAATTTGTTTTATCGTATTGTTTTTCTATTTCGGATTAATTCTCTATTGTAAAATTATTGTTCGTTTATATAACATTCATTATAATCTTAATTCTGTGGAAACTAAGATAAATTTCAGGATCTGTAAGGAACAGGTGTTTGGCAGATGCTTCTAACCTACGAAAGTCTTCTTTTTTGTATCCTCCTTTTTCACCTTTGTTTCTTTCTGTCAAGTAGCTATCAAACGTACCAGTGAGTAGTTTTTTTTTTTATTTATTCAATATTGAATAATATATGAAAAACGTTTATTTTAGAATAATAAATTTTATAATAGAGACTTTAATCACATTTAAATGTTTGATGCTCGCGCAAATAACATTTAGACAAAGAAGAATTGGCAAAACGTTATTGCAAATATACAAGGAAACACTTAAGATTCGCATCTATTTTATAACAACATTCATTAACGTAAAGGATCGATATAATATGAAGTTCAGAGTCCGATATCGTAAACCGGCTTTCCTCCATCGTTTGAGCAGACTTTGCTCCTCGAACGTAGACTTTGGTCTCGAGCGAGTCTCACCGCAGCGCCGCTTGTTCACGCAAGACTTATACACCTGTCCGCTATATATATATGCAAGGATTTCGTCCTTGTTATTTCGTGTTATATGCTATATTAAGATCTTAAATATTAGATGCGCTTTCACGTCAGATATATGTATATATGTATCTTATCTATTATACTATCATACTTAAACTTTATGCAGAAACGTAAATAATTCGAAGGTAACGGTGATAAATATTTATGTTGTAGAGTACAGCTGAAACTATCGTAAATCAATATCGAAACAATAATTGGTCCATTAACACTAACGAATGCAAAATCAATTTTAACAACAGACAACATAATTGCTTTGTTCATAGATAAAGGTAAAATGTACTGCGTATGTGTACAATATTGTACATACATGATGTTCTATCTAACGTGATGCATGTTTTAGTTGTTTGTTTTCTTTTACAATAAATTTAAAAAAAAAAAAACATAACTCTCTTTTTAAAAAACTAAGATGATCTTCGTTTCGCTATAAAAGTAATTATTTTCGAAATTTTTATTATGGTCGTTATACACTCGGCATCGATAAATTTTTTTTCAACATTGTTTTTGTTACGTGACCATGAATCATTGAAAAGTTGTACATCGTGTTAGACAGAATACTTCGTATGGATATAAATAACAAATTGTACGCATAAATATATTGTACGCATTTTTATAATATTCATTCGATCTTGGTACATCATAGACCAGTCGACAATGCACTTGTCCTCTTCTGACCGTCGCGTCATTACGCGCTGTCAAGTCCGACCAATCGCAACTGGCAAGCAACAGGTGACCGACCAATCCGGTCTCCTTGTCACAACATCGTCAGTCTTACATAGCGCTAAGTAAGCATTTCGCTTCTACGGATATTCCTACCAAATCCAACGATGATTGCTTTCCCGTTTTCTGCTTCTTTGTCTATACATAGCTCTTCTCATTCTCCTATCTCCCCACCTCACACGTCGATCGTATCAACCTGTTGCTCGTTAGGATTTTCTTCACTCTCTTTCCTAAGACGATTTAACATAAATTCTATATATCTACTCGTTGCAATATATGTATATGTAAAGTATTTACTGTGTGCGAATTTTTTATATAGAACAGCACGTAGCCTTTTGGAATTTTTATTTTTAGAAATTTCTTACACGATCTTTGATTCGATGCGGATTGACTTGTCTCTAGATCGACACAAGAAGAGATTTTTAAATCGTTTGAATATTTCACATGTAATAGGTAAAACACCAGATTGTAGAGAAAAAAATAATTCATAATTTAATACACGATTATTGATTATTTCTACTATTATAAAAGATGTGAATATATGAATTTGTTTATATGAAAGAAGCACAGAATATCTCAGAAATTTACTCGTTCATTTTTGGTGACCGACATAAGGAAGAATTCATAATTATTCTTAAATTTATTATTTTTAAGTAAATATATTCGATGAATGTTACAATAATCTTGATGAAAAATATTTCCAGGTAAATAAGAAGATAAGAAAGGAATACAATGACTTATATATTCATTTTCATGGCCAAATTATATACGTACGCACGTATTTACATTAAGAATTACATTTATATTACATTTACATTACTGATTTGATTATTCCGTAAACAGATTGTATACAGCGTATTCCATCAATTTTTTAAGTGTAACACATTCGCGGGTTACATTTAAAAATTCAAGAAGTCCCGAGTGAAAGATAGAAAGAGAGGCGCGGACAAGTGAAGTAAGACGTGTCGTGTACACGCACGTTATCAAGGCCGTGATCACGTTATGGAGGGAGCACTTCGAATCGAGGGCACAGTCGACATGTAAGTAACTTACCTGTGATCAGTTATAGAGCCTCTGTATAATTCGGAAGCGCGCCTCAGGTAGCCGCCATTTTTGTTTCTCCTTCTCGCACACCTCTTCCCAATCCACATGGTTTCCTGATCATACCACTTGGAATGTTTACCTTCGCCAATAGAGAGGATTCATTCATACACACGGATACATACTATCGTTCCGGATTGTTCGATGTATCGATCTGTCGTTATATTACGTATCGTTCGGTCCGCCATGAAGAAGTAAAACGTGGCGCTCCAGGAAAATAATCAGCGGCCCGGGGGAAGCGGGGGAAGCGTACCGCAAGGCGAGTGGAATGTCTGCGCACCTGGCCAGTGCGTCGCTGCTTTGACCTGCCTTTCCCTTCGTTTCTTTTAACCTGGCTCACGGTGGCAACGTGTAAGAACGTTCGTCGATCTGTTCCTACTATATCACAAATTGTCTTAAATATACCATACATATACATCGAAGAAGTTTCTCGAATTTAAATGTCGTGTTATCATCGTTACTTGGTAGTTTCCGCGTTTTTTTAACGTAACTCGTTCGGTCCTTGTCGTGTACATTCGGTTTGGCGAACCGGATTGCGCGTCCTTGTCGCGCGTACTTGGTGCGCGCGAGTTAACCGTGCGGGAAATGAAGCACGGGAACGAGCAAGAGGGTCTCTCCTGCTAGCCAACGAGCGGCGACGGGTTCGATGCGCAGTCGCCAGGTGAGGTAACGACGACGTGTGCGCGCAACGGTTGGGGTTGGCCAGTGTTGCACGAAACCTTGCCACTCGCGACGCGCGGCGGTTCGTCGATGGTGATAGAGAGCCGCGGACACAGATTTTTTTAACTCGCGCGGCTGCCTTCGGAGGACTGTACACATATCGAATTATCCTCACGACACCTGTGAGCAAACGTGGCGCGTCGTGAACGTTGCGGTATTATTCATCGACTCCCGATTACGATCGTTAATCCTTAACCTCAAACAAATAAAGGCAACATGCTGGAGAAGGATACCAACAGCAATCTGTGTTGAGGAACGTGATCGAGCTTTAAAGTGGAACGTGGAAGTTTTACTAGGGCAGACAACCGGAGGATAACGCACGAATATTAAGCTTGGAGTTGATTTTCGAGCCTCGTTTTAGGACAGGAGCCTCGCAGGACGACGGCTGTATGTTGCATGATCCGTGTCCGCACGGTGAAGTGTGCTACTTTGATAATAGGGTTCAGGTGTACGTTGATCCAAAAGTGAGTAGTGTCCGGAACGGAACGCGACTAACGAAACGAAAGGTAAACCCTGACACGATGCAGACTACGGGCACTACAAGGGGACCGACTCACCTGGTTGCTCTTTACGTGGCGACAGCCGGTCTCCAGGGTAATGCTCTTGGCTCCGATGAGGAGGAGATCACGCTGCTGGTTTATGTGCTCATCGATGTTCAACAAAATAAGGTATGTTTCTACAATGATGATTCAACGATTCAAAAAAGGTAGCAAAAAAGGAGAACGAAAATAAAGTGAAATGTGTGCAGAAGTTATTTGGAAATAAATTGTTTACGTGGAATTGATTTCCATAATGGGAGTTCTCAAATTTTAAACACTTTGTCGATACAATAGAACTCCATTAATACGAAATTTTAACTGAACTCCTGCCAGTTTAATCCACTTATCGAAATTATTATCTATTTGCACGAAGAATCAGAGATAGTAGGGAGAATTAATAGACTCCTATTATGTGAACTGTTTACCAACCAACGGACTATATATAATTTCATTTCGACAAATAGAATTCAACTGTACACTATTAAAAATGATTCACAGATCTTTGTATTTCCTGTAATGTGGTCATATAGTTATTTCTAATTGTTCGAACGATTTTTTATGCCGGTCACGCATAATGATTCACATATGCTTTAGCAATTCTTGATAGATATTCATTGACAGGCGATCGTTGGACTTTCCACGTTGACCACTATTTCCCTCCGTGTTTTTTTCTTTGATTTAACAATATATTTTCAATCGACCATCGTGTACCTTCGATCAATCGTTTCGCAGAAGTCGTGACACTGGAAACGATCGACATATCATTCAACTTTCACAAAAGTTTCTTCACCGCTGTCAATCCTGGTACGCGTTGCACTGGCACCGCTCTACTCTGCCTCTGCATGCCTCCGGCTGCCATTGTTTCTCGAATTATCCGGTGGGGGCGGAGCGTCGCGCCCTCGAAAGGTCGTCCATTACCTCCAGCTTTGCCATCGAGATTATCTGGCGCCATGGACTCCGTCTCTCATTAGCTTTCCCATATTACGATACCGGGAAATTACTCTCACCGCTCCAACTTCATTCTTCAATCGATATATAATAGAATTCCTGATAGTTTATAACGGTACATGAAATACAAATTTCAAGTTATCGCCGATGTTTTCGGTACGATCGCTACGATTTAACGGTATACGCGAAGGTAAACGCGCCCGAGCAGGTAAACGGAAGACGGTTCGGTTTCGATATAATTTGTAAAGGTACTTACTTGGGAAAACTGTTTAGAATTTTTAGTCGGTTGTTGATAATGTTGATGACTGATGATTGTTAAAATATAATTTATACGTAGTTATATTGTTAACATTCTTACGATATTATGGAATATAATAAATAACCCACAATATTGTGTTGTTATAGGTATTGTTAAAATTGTATATAATTATATTATTAAAATTGAGTTAGTGTAAGTCTACTAGGCAAAATAGGTGTATTTTTTATTAGAAATTGTTGGTATATTAAATGGTATGATACAATAGAGTTTAGCTTCAATAACTCAATCTTTATTTTCCGAGTAGGTAGATACACCTCTTAATATCCGAACATTACTACCAGAATGGAATGTCTGCTGGTTAATGATTTTTCATTTACTAGCAAACATTCTGATACAGTAGATTAATGTTTGGACATTAGGATATTCGAATAATAAAAATTTGAATAATTGAAGATTTGTACTACCTAATATTGACATTCTTTTTATCAAAACTTCGATCATAGGTATTTATAGGCTTTTCATTATGTAATATCTACTTTTTTATCTTAATATGCAATGATATTATTTCAATAATCTATCATTTTCAAACGTTCGGAAACATTTCAATTGTTTACATAAATTCATAAGTAGATAATTGAAAGCCAGCCGAAGATTTAATTCATCGAATGATCTCATGTATCATAACAGACACTTTATTTAAAATATCTTATATATTTTTAAATAACATGTGCCTTTTACAAATATTCGGAATTTAGCAAGAAAGGAAAACTAAAGAAAATCCTCGTCACATACTCATGTATACTCACGTATTTTACATTCTTCGTCTAATAAGTCGTCTCAATACGCGGACAAACCGCCAAGTTCCAAGTCGATTTTATCGAATTTTCTTGCGGCAAATTTGAGAAATCGGGGAGCATCCGGCGCGGCAACAGGTGCACCTAGTTTTCTTTATTCCTTATTGTGAATCGCCTTGCACGAGTGCGTCCGAGTTCCAGCTGGACGGTCGTTTCCTTTTTCCCCTCGAGTCACATACCTGACTATCTCCGATCGAACTCGATCGAGGACAATGGCCGCCGGTAAGCTCCTCTCGCTTTGCTAGGACCTCGTATATCTACTTAAATCCAACAACCGAAATACGTACGCTTTTGTATTTGCGCCGTACCTACTATTCATACTTATCTAGTGATGCATACTCGAAAGTTTTGGAAAGTTTTCGAAGTTTTCCAATATGTAGAATGTACTGGGAAAATTCGGATATAATTTAACAAATATGTCTCTATTTTAAAACTCTTGAAAGTTTTGGTTAGTCTTGAATCTTAAAAAAATGCTTCTAAAGATTGTTCATTCAACTAATACTCAGGATTAATTCTCTATAATGCTCTATAATGTTGGAAGTTATATATTACATCCTTTGTAAACAAGAAGATTGCTAATTTTACGTACGGAATATAAAGATTTGTAAATTTATAGAATAAAATAATTTTGAAAATTATAAATTCATTGTTACTTTGATGCTGACTTCAAATTACATAAACTATTTTTCATATCCACAAAAATAGTTCGAATCATATAATGGTTAATGTTGAGTATTGAAAGTATTGGGCATTCAGTATTTTATTTGGTTTACAAGCGCTATTTCTTATTTTTCAAATGTGTAACATACAAGAATAATGTGGATATGAAGTACATAAATATAGATATATCCCTTAAAATCTTTCAAGACTCAAGATTAATCAGAACTTTCAAGAGTCTCCGAAGCAATTTGAATTTTTTGTAATGTAGGTATCCGATGCTATTTGAAATGAAACACGTATGTATCTACGTTGTTATTGTGACCGTTTGATATTGTCTATTTATAATCTCAACCTCATCCCAGATTTTTATTTTTCGTATCGTTTGTTCGATAACTGACCAATTCTCGCGTTAATCAATGTAAAGAAAACGACATTATAACCAATAACAGATATTAACTATATTTATTATCAGTTTCACGTGCTTTGAAATATTATCTGAACGCGATGCCATTTATAAATAACGGAATGAACGGAATATATGTATCTATCAATATTGGCGAAAACTTTTATGAATTTGAATTATAGATAGTGTTGAATTTTACAGATTTTAGAAGCTTTTCTTTGAGATAATGTTCTTTTAATGCTTGATATTAATTACACATTAATTATTTATTACACAATAATAGTTACTAATTTAAACTATAGGGCAATATAATTTTATTAATACTTTATAGCACACATAACACAAATATTATTTCATAAAAATTATTATGATAAAAACTTCTTACATAATTTTCTGATTTTTAATTCTTGAAAATTCTAGATGATAAATATTTTACACGTAATGACCTCTCAACAAAATATATCGATACAAATTAAAGTTATTCGTACCTTATCATACTTTATCGATTTGGATTAAAAGAGAGCTTGTTAATCTCGGATTAATTGAAATTAACGTAACATTTTCGCGATACAAATTTACTGGTTTTTGGAGAAAGTCGAAAGATTCGTGTAGGATAGGGAAAGCCCGTCGAACGAAAGTTTCCAACGGTTCCCAAGCAGAGAACCATTGTAACTTGTCTTCTTGTTTCGAGGCTTCTTAGATATTCGGGGCTATTCAAAACTTCGGTCGAATGTCTTGATAAATATTACATACACTCCTCTGTCTCGAGTTTTTCCTCGTCTACATTACAAAACGCAGGTTGTGCCTCTCGCTTTCCGTTTGCGCATTAAAAATGTGGTAACTATATACGTGTCGGTTTATTTCGTTTCTATGAAACGTTCCTCCACAGTCGTGTGAAAAGAGAGGACGTTGACTTAGGCCTGGAAAGCAAGATTGCGCTCGCTAGACTTGAAACGCGAAAAGAATAGGCGTCGTGTGGTTTTACTTGAGCAAACGGAACGCTAAGTCTGTAATTTGAAAGAAAGAATTAAACGTCACGTTTGTTCAAATTAAAAATTAATTTTGAAACATGAAATAGCTTGCAATCCCGTTAGATCGTTATTATTTTATAGACCGCAAAATTACTTGCGATATAAAACGAACTTTGCATTTAGCAATCCTGAAATTTCTTATAAATGAATTAAAGCAATCTTAACAGAACTTAGGAATATTACAATAATAATATGATATAGGCACACAATATACATATTATAATACATCATAATTGTAATACAGATTTTACAATAAATATATTACGGAGTGTAATTAATAGTGATTATTATAGATAATGTTTCTAGGTAATCTCGATGAAAGTTCTCTTCACTTCTTCATCACTTCTTCAGGTTCTTTTTCTCTTTCTTGCAATACTACTTATATTTACGAAAATCATGGAACATTATATACAAAAGGTCATAAAATTATATCGAATACTAAAAGCAAATATTTAAGAAACACACACACACACATATATGTATTTAATGATATCTAGTGAATTATAATATATTCATTCATGTAGATATAAAGAGAACAGTAGGATTAAAATAAGAGCAACAAGTTTGAGAACCTTCTTAGGACTTTGAGGATCCCTTATTTTCAACCATCTGATTCCAATTTGATTGCATTGTAATTCGTTTAAATAATGCTTGCATTATTTGGCCATTGTGATTCGTTTCCGGCGTTTAAAGTTGATCGTGTAAGGCAAACTATAATGAGACATCGATTCATAGGCTTGACTCTTTATTTCCGCGTGCGTTGTTTCTAATGGTTTCTCTTTTATTATTAATTTGATGCGACTTTTCGACGAACGTATATAAATACAGTGATTCACTTCAATATATTTGAACATTTAAAGAAGGAAAAAATACTCAATGATGTTAAACGAAACACTTTGAATGACATTCGACTAAGAATGTTGAGTTGGCGAAGATTTTATTAAATTATTTATTTATGTGTTCTAATATTAAAAGTATAGAAGAACTTGTAAAAATACTACTTGTTTACTTTTATAAGTTTCTTTGTATAATTTATTAATTTTTATTAACACTTCTTTTTATTTTTATAAATTCTTTTATATAATTTATTCCAATATTAGAGCACATAAATAGAAACAGACACATTAATACGGACAATTATTTGAATAACAAATTATTCATTAAGTAAAATTATCTTTAGCATTAATTAAATGCGTATTTAAGACCATTATTCATTCTGCGTATCAATTTTTTATAAAATGTAGCTACAGCATATTTGGAATGAATATCTTGTATCACAATGTGATAATCGTATAATAGGAACTACATGTATATAATATTCATAAAAATTTTCTGCGACGAGTGTTCAAATACACTTGTGGTACCCGATATATGTGGTACAAAGTCGAAATACGTTTTTTCGTTTTGCGTTAGCTCGTTTTGCAAACGCTCAATATTTATTCGTCTGCGCATATATTAAGAATAGCTATCCAATTACTCTGTTCTTCCTCTATTTTCTTTAGTTTCCTGGACTTTAGATATTACGCGCGCAGCTTATTATTCACGTCCGACCGCCTCATTCCGGTCCACCATTCCAAAACCTTTTTCTCGTCCCTCCATGTAGTTTCTCTCCCTCTTTGTGTCGACGTCGTCGCGTTGCAATCTTATAAATACCGCTAAGACGTAATATAGTCTGTGGGAAAAAAGATTCGAAGAGAGCATGGCGGACGTTGAAATCTCCTGGCCGGCTGTCGTCACCCGGCGACGGAATTGAAATAATGATCTCGATTATCCTGCACACGATTAAAACCTGCGCAAAGCTGTACTTCTCCGTCCGTTTCGAGGTGGCTCGTGGCACTGAATAATAAACGTAGGTTTTCGAGATAATTGTTTTCTAGATAGAAAATTGTTTTTCTCGTCAAATAGGTATGTATTTATATCTTAATGGGTCAACTTTTGTTTATCTTTGTCTTTGTCGATGATATAATTGAAATTACATCAGGAAGTATTAAAGCTAGAATTAATGACGATTAAAATATCAAATTTATATCGAAGTGATTGAAGCGAAAGATGTGTAGGTAATACGTAATACCTACAGTGGAAAGTAATACAGATTTTTAAAAATGCACTGTGCAAAAGTTGTATATATATATATATATATAGTTTCAATTGAAAATTATTGGCTGCTTATATTATTCTAATGGTTCTAATGTTTAGTGACGATCGATCCTTTTTTCCTCTTAATGAATTTTATTGATATTCAAATTCTATTAGAATTCCATTAGAATGCTACAAAAGATGATTTCCCCACCGTTCTAAATTGTATATTTCCTACAATTTATAAACCAGTGCTTCAATTACCTGTACATCTTAAGAAATACAAGATGAAGGAATTTATCGTTTTCCTCGCGTCGTTTGTCGTCATCCTCAGCCGGGGCAAGTCAGTTCCTGTAAGCAACGTAACTCGCGACTTTTGACCTCCTGCCTCTTTCCTTCCCTCGGTAGATATCGTTCTTCTACTCGCATATGCACTCGTTGAATTTGCAATTTATGAGTTCGCATCGAATCGCACATTACATTTGTGCCCTTGTTGCCTCGTGCACGATAGATATTCAAGATTGTGACATTTTAATATACGATTGTGTACTTACGTACACATATTGTATATTTTATTTTCATTTTAATTTATCACACTACACGTATTAACTTATTTTACTTATTTTTCTTTTATCTATGTCTATTTAAAAAAGAAAACTTTAAGCATGAGATTGAAACAAAAGATCGTACCTGAAATTCTTTAAAACAAAATCTTTAAAATAAAAATTCTCACCGAAGAAAAACTCGAACAAGACGATCTCTTTCTCTGTCTTTCGAGGAAGACACAATTTCTAATCTGAAAACATCGTTACTTTCTTAATTATAGTTTAGAAGAAAAGTTAAACCTCGTTTAACTTGCGTAAAGTGTACATACAATCAATATAGATATGTAGTATTTTTAGAATACGAATGTTTACATGCTTTATGTACAGTTTTTGTTCCAAATTTCTAGTAATAGCGTTTTTAAATTATTGAAACAATAAATTCCTAGAAATAAAAGTCTTTTCTTTAACGTTATTAAATATTTTGTAAAAAGAATTTAATTATAAATTATAAATGAAACATATAATTTATAAATGAAATACATAGAATTATAATTTGGTCAGGAATTTTATTGTATTTTATTGATGCTCTTCCTTGATTTAGCAAGCAGAATTTCTGAAGATCGTTCATCACAGTTTCGAAAAGATGTGATGCAGATGAAACAAGTATTCAGAAGTTTAAAGACCTTAAAAATTTTTTCCAAATCCCAAGGTCTAATAGAAAAATAATAAGCCATTCATATTTAGTAAAGATCTATTATTATGGGAAAGAAAATTTTGAAGTTATGTAGGAAATTCTCCAAACGTCACGAGCACGATGTTTTAATCCTCGAACTAGGTTGTATAATTAACAGTCAATAATTAACATTTATGTAAATGTGATGCTGGTTCATTTACGTCGTGAATTACGCCACGAGGCTTTATCGAAGGTAATTCAACACGATGGCTTGCTCGGCATCGAACTACCTTGATCTGTTAACCCCACGTCAAAGAACATGCCTATTAAGTTTCTTGCGCGTCTTTCCACCAACATTGACGTACAGCTACCATGTGATGTCTTCGAACATGTATTTATCTACGAGCTCTGATAAATATGTCTAACGCTGCCAGAACTTGCGACATATTTTCAGTTGGTATTTTTTGTTTTGTCCTCGAACGGAAACACATGCTAATTAAAAATTTGATAAGAAAAGTGCATTTTTTAACAACAGTAAAATTTGTGACTAAAGTAAAACATTTCAAATGTCGATGATGATTAAAAATTATTAATTAAATAGTTTTTACCTATTGAAAAATAAAAAGTTATTTTGGTCTAATTCTCTTCGTGACAGAATTCATCTTGTATAAATTAGGATTTCAATATTAAGAATTATAAGGATTCTTTCAGTATTATATACAGGTGGAACTTTTTAGCGTTTTCTTGGAAAATTCAAATCAGCGTTCATTTCGATGAAAAAGTTTTCCAACTGGTCGTTACTTTCTATCCATATTTGAAACACAGTAAAAGTTTTAAGGCGTAACGATTTACTGAATAGAACGCTGAAATTATTTTAATTCATTATTAACATTCTTTTTTTTTTTCTTTCATGTGCCTTTGCATGATACGATAATTACTCTAAATTCCTAGTTATAATTAATAATTTATAGTACAATTACGAAGACTCATAATATGCCATTTTCAAACTCATTTAGATAATCGTATACTGCGTTACAACGTGGTTAAAAGCTTTTACATAAGCGGTTAAAAGAATTTTTTTTTTAACCGCCTATGTGAATTATTTGTTTAAAAAAATATCAATCTTTTACCGCCATCTGAATGATCAATTAACTACACTCAAAAGCATCTGATACACGTCGCATAAAATAATAATATAAATTATATAACTATTATATTCTATGATATATACTTAACTTATTAAACGAATAATAGACATTTGTGTGTAGTTCTTGTTATTGTGACAACCATTAAATTATTCCTTAGAGAAAATTCTTTACGTAGTATAGATATAAATTTTCCTACATGACTACTTGGTGAACATTCACGTGAAATATAATCGTTATGTGTCTTGATATGAATTATTTGGGGTTCAGGTTTATGCTTACATAAAAAGTGGCGAAAAGAGCAATGAAATTTGTTGATAGTAATATAATTAGTATAAATATCTGTAATTTGTTATGGTTACATTGTAGATTGTAAGTTAACAAAGTATTGGTTGTAAAAGTGAAAATATTAGGTAAATAACAAACTTTCGTTGCTCGTTTCGTTGGTATGTCCCTATGTATATGCAACCATTTCGGTTCAGATTATGAGTGGTGTGTTGCATAGTTGCAGGCGAGTGTATTAACTACATAAGATTATCGGCCTCTACATAAAATTACCGGTGCAATAGATTCCTTATTTTTGATTAAATGATAGCTATGATGATATGTTTGAATTTAAGCATGTTATTGAAATATTAAATGTTGAATTTTCCATTAAATTTTTTAGTGAATTATTATTATTGCATCTTTTTTATTTGATTAGAATTTTGAATGGAAAAATGTTACCGTTGCGTTTATTTGTGAACATGAATTTCGCAGGTAATGGGAAGACAACAATATATTATACGACCGATGGTAATGGACGAAAGTTGTACGCCTGGAACTGGTAGCGACAACCCGGCGGTTGCCGGAAGTAGTGGAGTCATCAGCGAAGCAGCGTTGGCACATGCTCCGGCGTTGACTGAAAGAAATCTTCGAGAGCATGGAATTCCTTTGGAACAGGCTATTGAACAGGTGATTGTGTTTTTTTTATCGAATAAATCTGAAAATCTGTAAACGCGAAATATGTACGTAATACTTACATCTACCGATTGACAAACGACAAACAAAATATGAAAGAATACGTACATTTTTTTCAAATTTATATGAGACATTTGAAAAAAAATTCATTTTTAATAAAAGTTTGAAGCATGGTGGTCTAGTATGTCGCCCGTGACGTCCGGTTGTGCACCATGTTTCGTCGTAGACGGTCAGGCGCCGATGAGACAATGCTTACATCCAGAAGCCTGCAACAAAGACATCAATTTGCCAGAGCACTACAACATCTTTCACGATCTTCGAAAGGAATTTGTTGCTTGTTACTCGACTCATGGAGAACTTTCGACATTCGGAATACAAGAGATGATGGAATGTATCCTTTTCGAAATTTGACTGAAAATAAGGTTACTCAGTTTTTATGTCGTTTTCTGTGTATATTTACCAATACGATACGATCGTTCAAGCCCATCTTAGTTCAACGTATCTTGTGATAAACAGACGTAAGATCGTAGAATCAGATTACTCCCCTTTGAAGAGTGTTAGGGCACGAAAATATTTTTCAATAAATTTTAAATATATAAAATTTTACTAGAAAATAACACGAACGTGTATTGAAAATTGAACGTCACGGATATATCGGTAGAATTGCATAGTCAATTTTTGATGTGGCTGATATTCGTCGCACGTGCAGCGTTCGTTCAAAGTTGAAAGTTTGGTTTTCGATACCGTACGATTGCCTTAAGGCGACGACTATGCTTGAAACGAGAATTCCAAGGCGTGCGTTAGGCGGCGCGACAGAAGTTGAATCCAACATATTCGACGAACCTGACGACGAACTAGCTGCTGCGCTGCTGCTGCTGCGAAATCAGTCTGTAAGCGAGTAGAGGATATACGTATCGTATTAATTGTGCTCCTACCAATCCAACATTCGAATATAACAAAATATAAGTCACTTTCTCAACTGTATTTTTTCAATTTAATTGTTGCGGAACAGATTTTTGAGTAACACGTGAAAGTGTGTAATTATTAGTTATTGTTTCAATCTACGTACAAAAGCAGAAATTCTTTCAATTTCATAAGTTCCTGAAGTACAAATTACGATCTAAGGCGAAGGTATGTTTTCTTTATTCTCAATACGTTTTGAAAGATTTACTCTTATACCTATATGATTTCGTTTCGTTGTTTAGTTTTATTTATTTAGTGAAAGATTTATTTTAAGGAGCAAGTTCTTTTTTACGGGTGAACAAAGAATTTATTAATTGTAAAATCTGTGTGAAAGAACATGTTTTGCATTTTTTGAACATAGATATTGATAGTAACATTTACCTATACGTGTTCTTTTAAATTTATACTAAAGTTGTAGAAATCATATATATCCATATGTGAGATTTAATCCAAACGAGGAAACATTATTTTGTAATGGAAATGAAATACTTGCCTTAAATCTAACTTAAGCACGAGTCAAGATTATGGTATTATAATCGTTCCACTTTATACCAATCGTGTCGTGTGTATAATGTCTGTCGTTAATAAAACAAAACCACCTGTGGCTGACGAGAATACAATATGTACAAATATCGATCGATACCAGCGCCGTGCTTTGATTGATCGACAATTTTGATTTACATTATTCGTTCTAATCATTTAGGAATAAATATAAAGTTAGTGAGCATATGACCCGGAAATATCGCTGTACGGTCGTTGTAATTTCTTATTTTATTCAGCCTTTTATTTTCATTGAAAATCCTTGATCTTTGAAATTGTTTTTGCAAACAAGCATTAAATGTTTCATATTATGGAAGTATTACGATTGGTTAGACATCTTGTCTTTGTTTCCAAGTTTTTTAAATATGAAATGAAAAATAAATAAAATCAACATGTACTACCAATATCAGTCGAATATCTTAAGAAAATTTCACCAAGTAATTATCCGCAGAATACAGTTTAAAGGTCACACTTGTGAAGATATTGGTAACAGCCTGACGACCAACTAAGATACATATATGGATAATTATGCGCGTAACAAGTTTATTCGATTTCTCGTCATTTCCAGTTCACCCATCCTCCTTGCATAATTACGTTTCTTTTTTGTGAAATTCGCTGTTATGAATCTGAAAATTTTTATTTCTTTCAAAAACTTGGAACTCAGAACTTATTATAGTATATGATATTTTTGTCTAATCTATATCATTTTAACCAAGTAGATCACAAATAATAACCATGATAATAAATTTGTTAATTTATAATTTCCGATAATATTTGGATTTGATATCTCGATACATCTCGAATGGTGGTTACGTAAAAGCGATTATTGCAATCTACCTTTCGTGTTATCGATATATATATATATATATATATATATATCGATAATATATAATTGTTATGTTAAAAATGAAGATTTATCCTTGACTGACGAAAATCAGATTTTGGCTTACCGTTAGATACTGACAACGAATTCTATGTGAAAGAAATACAAGATATGATTTGTGTAATACGAAGAATGATAAAAGATGGTAAGTTGTCGATTAATGAATTTTCATGAATTTTTCGAGTTCAAGTACAATGTGAAATTCGTAATAAGAATGATAGAAAAAAATATGTAATCTGTTTTTATTGTTGATAATATATATTTTCTTTTTTTTTCTAATTAATGGGTGACTGGTGGACAAAAGGAATTATTTCTTAACAAAGAGTAAGGTTCACGTATGATACGTCCTATCTTTTATAGACTATACATACGAATGAAGAATATACATTTTGTATTATTAGGTACTCGGTAAATTAATTTCGGATGATATCGTGATCATTTAAATTTTTGATTAAAGTTGAAAGTAAAATATATATATAAATTACAATCTTGAAGATCAATTCTATTCTTAAATTTGTTTTCATCTAGATGAAAATCTTTTCTTCTTTTATAATAATTTATAATAAATTAGAAGAAAGGCTCAGTTATTTTCCACTTGTAATTGTAATATAATATAATATATGTATCCGATATGAATTTGAAATTCTATTAGTTTTTTATTGCTAATTGAAGTAATCGTATAAACTGTACATTTCTTTATTATAAGGTATTTATAGCTTAATATACAATTACAGAGTATGTAAAAAAAACAAGTATATTAATTTTTATAAACAATTTATATTGTTAAAGTAGTACGAAAATTTCAATTATATCACAGTCTATCATATATTGTAAATATGGTCATTATTCTATAATATTATTATTTAAAATCATTCTACGTAAACGAAGAAATACTAGCAAAATCAAATGTGAAACAGAGAAAGAAAGAAAATGAGAAGGGAACGAATAAGAAGAGAGTAGTGTATACATTTTAAATCCATGCATTTGGGCTCTTATGTGTGTTCACGGTTTATGAGTGCGGGTCAAGCTGTAATGCTATAAGCAGTGACAGTCATAATATACTTCTTATCACAATGGTGCTCAACTCTGACTGATTTTAATTTTCAATCTTGTAAGAACATGTCACGTGCCACTATGACAAGTGCCTGTGCGTGTAATAAGCAATGAATGCTATTACTTTAAGACACGATCGCATATTTATTTTACAAATGTTTAATGTTTGTCGCACTTTTCGTTGAATTTTTGCATGTATTGTGTCATCTATAAACATCAAATCGTGATCAAAATTCCCTTTCTCTTTCCGTTTTATTGCATTTCCGGTTTAATGAAATATTTGATGGAGGGGTAGAAATGATGATGGAAGAAAAATTTCGATTCGTAAGGCATGAAAAGACTTCGAAAGACTGCTGACACGGTGCAGCGAGTAGGCAAATCGAAACTGAGTATTTTGCTCAAGCTTGAGAAATCGGAGACAAACTTGTTGGTGTAGAATTACGAAGGAAATGCGAATGGTGGACAGTTCAAGACACTGGGATAATGATTATATTTTTCGCGGGAGAATTCATTTTTCTGTTGTGTATAAAAACTTTTATATATATTAAGATTTATCACTGATCTAGTTTTTAAATAAAATGAATATGTTACTTGAATAAATATCGAGAATTTAAATCCTCATATGGATTATAATCGCTTTTTGGATCGATGTGAGTCATGATGCATAAGCGTCATCGACTTCTAAGGTTAATCGCAGTTTCATTTATTTTCTATTGTTAGGAGTGTTATCAAAATGCTTTCAATCATCCACTTAAATATGCGTTTATATTTCTTTTACATTTACATTGATTTAATTATATTGTTTTTATTACAGGACACGTCTTCCAAAATCCTGAAACAATTAATATTGTTTTAGAACCTGGTATATGGTAAGTTATTTTTGATATTTCTTTTTCAACCAATGAAATTTATGTTACTGATCTTATGATGTTCTTTCGTAGCTCAAAAGATGAAGAAGTTGACAATGGCTGTGTAGTAAGAGCTAGAGGTCTTCCTTGGCAATCATCTGACCAGGATATAGCAAAATTTTTTCGTGGCTTAAATGTTGCCAAGTAAGTGAAGATTATGAATACTAGCTTTAAGGTTAAAGATTGTTAAAGAATAAAATACATTGTAATAACTGTTATGATATTTGTACACAAGCCACTTGGATCCATGTGACAAAGGTAAAGATTAATATTTAATATATAAAAATGGATGATTATGCAAGTTTTTAAATGGTAATGTTTACTTTATAAGAAGTAATAAACAACAGTTAATAATATTTTCTTGTTATTTCTTTCTTTCTTATGCAATGATAAGTATTATCTTGGGGTCATGAATCTTATGTGTTATATAAATTTGCCAATGATTCTCAAAATCACAGTTGTAATTTATATAATTCATATATTTATTCTGTTTTAAGCATATTCTAACTGATTCTTGCTATTTTAATTATAATCAACTACAAAGCTTTAAATAATGTATTGACTTTTATTATAAAAATATTGTTTTACAGGGGTGGTGTAGCTCTGTGTTTAAGTGCTATGGGAAGACGTAACGGAGAAGCATTAGTACGGTTTATTAACAAAGAACATAGAGACATGGCATTAAAAAGACATAAACATCACATGGGAGGAAGATACATAGAAGTGTATAAAGCTTCTGGAGAGGATTTTGTTGGCGTTGCTGGAGGAACTAGTGGTGAAGCTCATGCATTTTTATCTAGAGGAGCACAAGTTATTGTTAGAATGAGAGGCTTGCCATATGATTGTGTTGCTAAACAAGTGGTACGCAAAAAATATTTTTCACATATTCTATCAGATATTCTATTTCTCATTTTATGCATTACTTTTCATAGTTGGACTTCTTTTTGTCAGGGCAAAAGCCCTGTCATGTATTGGATGGGGAAGATGGCGTTTTGTTTGTAAAAAAACCAGATGGTAGGGCAACCGGGGATGCATTCGTTCTTTTTGCAAAGGAAGAAGATGCTGTGAAAGCATTGAGTAAACACAGAGATTGCATTGGAAGCCGCTATATAGAACTTTTTCGAAGTACAATTGCTGAGGTGCAACAGGTAAATATAAATTACGCGAGTAGAGAAATAAGGAAAATAACTAAACATTGATTTACAGGTTCTGAATAGGGCAATTGACCCGAAACAGCAGGTTGTACTTCCAACGCCGCCTATTCCACAACTTCCTCCTATACTTCCACAACATATTATTACTTCTGGTACGCGTAAAGATTGCGTTAGATTGCGCGGTCTTCCATATGAGGCTCTTGTTGAACACATCCTCGAGTTCATGGGCGAACATTCAAAAAATATTGTCTACCAGGGTGTTCATATGGTTTATAATGCTCAAGTACGTACGTGTGTATTTTCGGTGTTGTGATTATACTTCATTTTTGACAAATCAAACCAAATACATTTTGTTTATGCGTTTAGGGTCAACCTTCCGGTGAAGCGTTTATTCAAATGGACAGCGAAAGTTCAGCATATGCGTGTGCGTCACAGCGACATCATCGGTACATGATATATGGCAAGAAACAACGATACATCGAAGTGTTCCAGTGCAGTGGGGATGACATGAATCTGGTATTGACAGGTGCAGTAACTCCGCCATCAACCAAGGCTCTACTATCACCCGGTACGTTGACCACACAAACCCCTGCAACTTTGACACATCCGCCTCCGCCGACGCCGGTACCGGTACCGGTACCGACGGCGCAACCCCCTCTCTGGGATATTCACGCCTTAGTACAGGCTCAACAAGTCCAAGCACAGGCACAGGCTCAAGCGCAAGCTCAAGCTCAGGCTCAAGCGCAGGCAATTCGAAATCAAGACTTTTGGTTAATGGCTCTAGCCTCAAATCCACCACCTACCTCTACTACTCCTGCTTCCCCAACTTCGTCAGCTACGACTAAGACGCTCGCTCTACCGGGACCGAATCCGCAGCATCAGATTCCTGCCTATGCAATGACACCTCAGACAGCAGTCGCGGCCGCTGCGGCTGCTGCAGCGCTTCACGCTCAGCCACCCGCGCCGGCCCCCTTTTTACTCTTTAATGTACCCTCTCGAATTCCTATTTTACGGGCACCGGCACCGCATAGTCTCTTGACACCTATCGTTCAAGCTGCCCCCATTAATCCAGCCGCTATAATGGGATTAAAGAGAACCTGGGAAACCGCTTTCCCACCCGATACGTCGAGCACAATCGCGAAACGTGCTACGTGGCACACACCGGCGGCCGCATTTCACGCGCAAGCTCCAGCCGCAGCACCAGGCTTGCCTTATCCTGCTCAATTTTATCCTCAGATTTAATAGGTCAAACTTGTTAGCATCGATCACACAGTGGACGGACGCAGTAGCTTCTTCCTTGTGCATCTGTTTTACGTTGTTGTAGATTGAATTTGAACAACCATGTCATCAATATCACAATATCAGACATATAATGAGATATTTATTTCTTGTGCAAATTTATCTTAATTACATCGTTACTGTGTGACAAAGTGTTGTACGATAAACAATTTATTCTTCTACGAATGTATATGGTTACATGCTATACCATGGCAATTATTTATAGTAGACATTCCACATGATATTCTATACAAACTCTTTTTTCATATCGTTCTGTTACATGGTAATAGTTATTTTAGAAATCGTTTGCTCTTTTTCTTTGACTAAGATACATACATATATAAACTTATTCATTTCAGAGATGGTTTTTTTTGATACTTAATTGAGCAACAGTACTTAGAGTGTTTTCCTTTCGTAACGTATGAGTTTTTCGACGGTCCAAAAGAGTATATCATTAGAACGTGATCGTGTATTTTTCTCTTTTTTCTGTTATACATGCTCTTTCACATCAAGTACATATCAGAAAAGCTGTTCTTTTACATGAGGCGTGAAGTGCCTTAAGAATTACGGATTTTTCGATTTAGGACATTATATTTTCTCTGCGTGAAAAAATTCCGTGATTTATACGCGCGTGATTTATATATATATTAACAGAAAATGAATTATAAACGTATATATACACATACACGCACATACACTCACATACATATATATATATTCACATACTTTTATATATATGTGTATATGTATGTATTAAATACATAAATATATATAAGAATGATTTATATATTTTGCTAGAAATATTTTTATTAGCGATAAGTAAATGGACATTCCATCCACTGTTATCGGTTTTTTAAGTACTAATTTAGGGAAAACAACACCTCTTTATGTGGCATCTACTTTACACACGTTCAAAAATAAAAGAAAATCTTCTTTTTATTTTCTTTCGTGAGATAAAAACCTGCAGTATACATACATTGCAGTTTTACATCAAAACGATATTTATGATTTCAATTATAACTGCAATGTGCATAAGCTTCCTGAGCCGATCGAGTCGACGTGATCCATAAGAAATGTTCTACGACGAGATTCACAAATTCATTTCTAACCGCCCTTGCCACATTCCTAAGAGAGTTTATTCTTTCTTTATGCCGCGTAGAGAACACTTTGAGCTCGAAATAGGAAAACCAGTTGAGACACGTTGCGCTTTCACGCGTACGTTCTTCGATGGTGCAAAATAGATAGAATTCATTAATTGGGCAGTTGTGTGTACATTACCAGGGTTTGACGAATGATAAAGCACGAAGAAATCAAACGAGATGAATTATAACATATAACACATATATTACGAAACAAGTGTTGTAGGCATCATAAGTATTCCTCTGAATCATGGAGATATTTTTTTCTCTTTTCAACATTTCTTCAGCTTCGTTTTTATAACTTTATTTCCTAAGAAGACACATGATTCGTATCATAAGACTAAAGACAGTTGGAGCAACGGTTGCTCAAGATATTATGTATATCATAAGAATGATAATGGGGCCAAAGGGAAAGCTAGACCAATGTCTAAATAATTCAATTCTGATTAAAATAGATAGACAATATTTTTGATTAAAAAGAGAAATTACTAAAAAAAAATAAAAGAAAATAAATAATGAATCTCCGTGCTATATTATTACATAGGAGTCGTATCTTGTGATGTTTTTAACTTGGTGTCGGCGGAATATATTATCTTCTCGATACTCTTATATGTCCATGATATCGTAGTTTTGGTGGAGAAACAGACGAAAAAGCTTGTCGAGGGGCCTCTGACATCGAGTGTACATGGAAAACTCGTATTTCGTCGAAATGAATGACGATTGATATTTTTTACTGCCATTACTTGTACATATATATGAAAGAGCTTCTTTTCTTTCCACTCAATGGTCCATATGATCGCGAAGCTCAATTAGTCTTTTGTCCTTCGCTACTATTTTTTTTTATCATGGTTTTTCTGTATGCTCGATCTCGGTGTTACCGCGGAGCAGCGTGAAGTGCTATCCAGTGATCACACAGATTTTTTTTCTTGCCACATTTTCTCTATATATAAGCACATTTTTTCTTTTCTTCTTTTTTTTTTAATTTTTTTCTTTTTTTATATACGCACTTAATATATATATATATATATATATATATATATATATATATATATATATATATATATATATATATATATATATATATATATNACGTACATATATTGATAATGTAGAACGTAATTTCAACGGATGAAATTTTATGAACCATGGAGACGGCACGAAACGCACACAATGATTGTTCTTATGTTCCAAAGTATAAAGTCCATGGGCATAGAAATGACTGGTTTGCATGTCGTGGTTTTGTGGAGGGACGTGCATACAAGTACCTGTAATATCCTTCGTTACCTATTCGTTCACACGACGAGAAGATTACGTAACGGGTCGAGTTATCTTTTTTTCTTCTTTTTTTTTTTTTCCTTAACTGGAAATTACGTTCATATTTTGTCTCTTTTTTTTTTCTCTCTCTTTTCCCTTTTCAAAACTTCGTTCTCCCGTTCCATAATTCTCGCATTCCTTTCCACCGCGTAGTGTCCAATAATACATCTCATAACACTCCTACAATTCTCGCACAACGCCTCTCTCTGTTTATCAGGAAACGGTGGCGTATTATATAGAACTGAGTAGTACCTTTGGTATACACCTAGTCCTGTTTTGTCGTTACAATTGCAGTGTAAAGTGTGCACGACTTTGGACAAATACTTTTGTAAACTGATCCACACGCATTCATGTAAACGAATAGGGATTCTTTTTTTTCATCAAACATCAGCACGGTATATCTGAAACTGTGAACGCGTACTTTGGTACTCGGATCGTGCACATTTTACATTCCAATCTTACTGATGTAAGTCGAGAATCGGAACATTGTTCGCCGATATTACATACGTATATCGGGATCACGCTTCCTGATTCAGCTTCTATATAGCATCAATAGACATCATAGAGACTAGATTTCAACGTGAGAATTTCAACGGACTAACTTGGTTTTATTTTTTACTATTGTTTCTGCGGATTTAGGGATATAGAAATGGTATAATTTATAGATGAGGGGAGTGATATTTAATTTAGGGAAGAGGAAGTCAATTGTGCCTAAATTTAATTGATTATATTTCTATACCTACTCTATACTGTTTATGATTTAGTTAGTTAAAATTCTATAGATTTAGACAAGCTATTGTTTTAAATAAAAAATATGCTGCAGTTTTGATTATTGAACAATAATTATGACAAATATTAACTGATAACATCAGAACAAATAAGAAATAAATTCTCTAATAAAAATTAGGCACAATTTACGTTCCTACGTCCCTGTGTATATTCTTACAATTAGATCCCTAGCTGGTTTAGCCGACTCATTAGATATATGCAGCCTCTATTTCGCCTTATCACTATGAACAGGCGAAATCTCGGTGTGTTTTCAAAACGCGAATAATCAAGAAATGTATCTGCCGGGAGTGTCGAGAAATTTTCAATTCATTTTTACACAAACTTAAATCTTTGTCGTGCTACTATTGTAATAATATTGGACCAGGTTTCTCACACAAATGAACATCATACGCCAATCCTTGTAACTGAATTCGTACGAATTGTGTTCAAGAATTTCTCGATGCGCTCGACATTCGCAGAGATTCTTTTACTCGATTTATTGAAATAATTACAACTTTCAATAACTGCGGCTGTAATGGTGTATGTGAAATACGCCTTCTCGTAAGAACGAGATATGCGTGCATTGAATAAATGCAACGTTATGCATCAATAGACCAAAAGTGACCGAAAGAGTAAAAATATCTTTCAATATGAATATCCACTGTTTATTGTAGGGTCTACTGATGTATAACACGGAGTCAGGGTCCGAAGGTTAAGTTCGGTAGCAACTTAAATTAATTTGTTACTTAGGTCCTCAATTTTTTTTTTATAGTAGTTTTCTTCTACCTAACATAACGAATGATTGGATTAGTATATAGATTTTTTGATCACCAATTCAATTGATCGCCATTTATTAACGAAAGACCAATTATTCATTCTTCTATCATAAAATCGCTTAACACTATTGATGCATAATGTCGCCCAATTGTGTATTAGCTGCCATTAGCTTTCGCTGGGCACACGAGCCATATTATACACGTTATTCGGGGTATCCAAAGGGAGAGTAAGATTAGAGAGAGAATGGAGAGGGAGCGAAAGAAGAGATAGAGTACGAGTGTGAAGAAAACGTAGCATTTTTCGTTTTAGATTATTACCACACTACTACTACTACTACTACTACTACTACTACTATTATTATTATTGTTATTGTTATTATTACTATTATTATTGTTATTATTATTATTATTAATATTACAATTACTACTACTATTACTATTATTACTACTGCTACTACTTATTATTATTATTTTATATTATTATTATTGTTTCTCGTACTAACTCCAGAGCTCGTCACCATCAAAGGTCGTGGCATAATAATATTTTTTTCTTTCTCATTATGCGTTGAATGTGTTGTCTCTGGTATTTTGTGATCCGCTAACCTGGTGACTGACAGTGTGTCGTCCTCCCCACCCCTTTACAAGTTTACATTTTTGACTAATCGTCGTGAATAGTTATTTATCATTGTTAGTACGTCATTGTTGTCGCTATTATTCGGAGGCTGACTAAAACAGTAAAGCGACACGTTCATTGTTAATTATTCATTTAGACTTTCTTAAGGGTTATTCAGGTGGAATATGGATCAGACTCTCGCTCTGTTCTAAATCCTCTTTCTTTTCTTTTTTTTTTTTTTTTTGTTTTAATGAACCATATAGTTAATTGATTGACGATTTCGTTTAATTAAAATGAAATTCGATTTAGAAATTAGAGGATTTTGAAAGATTGAGAATTTAAAGATTTGCGAAAAGAACGAGAGTCTCTGGAGTCATCTCTCAACAAGAAATATATCACTCTAATCATACCCTACGAGTCTTCACGGCTAATCGTGATTGTCTTGGCGAAAGTTAATTAATAATTATGACGCGGTACCAGCTTTACGCATATTGTCCGCGATGTAACAAGAGAAACGGGAATAAGTTACGGGTACTGCGACACTTCTCTCTTTTTTTTTTCTTTCAAGGCCCACCCGAGTTACGAAAGAACATCTTTTCACCGATTGCGTTTTATCTATATTGGGATAATTGGACACACGTATACACATAAAAATACAGCAAGAAACACACAGGATACACGTATAGACAGACACACGTATATATTGCAAACATAAAAGACACACACACACATACAGGATTTATATACCGATCTTTTTTTATCCCTTGTATACACTTTTTCTGTATATCGACGATTATATCGATGGTAAATTGATCATGTTTAATAAATGTGCCTTGTGGACATACATATCTTTTTGCTTGCCGGGTTGGTGGACTCTTACCCTGATTATATTACCTCGCCTGGTGGTGGTAATTTTCGTAGACGCTAGTATTTAGTTTAGTCGTTATTATATTTATTTTTTTTTTTTATCATTAAGTAACAGTTAAGAAATTTTTTAATACAAGGATTTTTAGTATTATCGCCCTGCCCCTCTCCTTCTGTCCTCGATAAATGAATTTCATTAGAATATTCGAAATTTGGCTTGAAGAATGTATTCATGGTATAAAAAGATATCTCGAGATCTCCTCATGACAGTCTGTGAAAATTATGACCACCATTATCCTGTTACGTTCTATACATTTTTTTTTCACTGGGCTCGCAGGTATCTTTGGTGTCTACAGATCAAGTTGGAGATTTCTGTGTCGTAACTTTTGCCTCCTCTCTCTCTCTTTCCCTCTCTTTATTTTTTTTTTTTTTTTATTTTCATTGGTTCACGTACAGGTTCTTCCTCTTTCACTCTTTTAATCTGTCTTTTTTTCTCTCTATTGCTCAGTTGCTCTTTCTTTCGCTCTCTCTTTCTTTCTCTCTCTCTCTCTCTCTCGCCTTTTTTCTCTGTGTTTTATCTCCCTCCGATCGTTGGATCGATCTATCTTCTGTTCCCCGTTTCTAAAGGACGAGGTCACGAAGGGCAGTAACCATTTTGGTTTCAATGTTAACATCACGTTGAGCAAGCCTGTGATGAGATGTAACACTGTAATCTAATTTAAGACTTGCTTACTTCTCGGTTAGACATTTTTTAAAAATTTTGTTCCCTGTCTCTTATTACCTAATTTAACGTGACCCGTTCCGATTTTCCTTAACTTCTACTTATTAGAGCGAGGAACACCCTTGCTTAATCTGTTCCAACACTTATAGTAATTCCCCAATTTTTCTTCTTTTACGCAAATGCCTCGATGCGTCACGAATCCACGTAAATCTAAAAAATACGAATTGAAATATCAAAATAAATTTCAAAAGATTGGAGAAATTCAAGAAATATCAAATAAAAATTAATTAGAGTAGTACGTCTGATACGTTTGACGCAAAAAGGCTTTTAATATATCGGGGAAGAGAGAAGAGAGAGAGAGAGAAAGGGAGCAAGGTTCGAGAGAGGGAAGGAATGATGGAGAGAAAAAGAGAGAATGAGAAGGGGAGAGTGAATTTTGGTGATTTGGCAGAGGGTCGAAATCGCAAGTTGGTGCTACATATATATAAAATATACGTATATATCGTGTTACAATGGTGCAGTGTCGATTGCTGTTTGGTAGCGGGATCTACAAATACTAACTTCTGTGCTTCCAGGTAGGCCAAGTCCAAATCATTATTCCTTTGGATGACGTGTTTTATACGATCCGAGCAACTACACGATGAAGAATCTCGCAAGAAAATCAAATCAGATGGTTAAATTTATAAAATTTCCCATCGAATGCGGTCAATCGTTTTTCTTGGTGAAAAAAGTTTTGCACGGATCGTAGAAAATCGTCAGATTAATCGTGAAATCGTGCAGGTTGCGGGAACACGCGAATAGAAAAGCAGATGCGAAAGATTATAAGCTTGAAATCATAAAAAAACAACGAATCAAGTAATCAGTGTATTGAGATATTCTGCACGATGTCATCGACCACAGATCGTGGTGTGGTTACATAGTTGGGCATTCTTCTTACGTTTGTATATACATAGAATCTATGGGTATTATATTGAATCTTCTTCTTTTTTTTATTTTTTTTATTTTTATTTATTTATTTATTTATTTATTTTTTTTTTTTTTTTTTAGTTAATAGTTAACGCGTTACGTAAC